ACCCCACCCCACCCCAACCCCAACCCCAATGGCCCCCCAACCCCAACCCCAACCCCAACCCCAACCCCAACCCCAACCCCAACCCCAACCCCAACCCCAACCCCAACCCCAACCCCAACCCCTACCCCGCCCTAACCCCGCCACTCCAAAGATATTTATTTATTTAAAAATAATAATTAAATATATTTAATTATTATATATAATATTTATATATATATACATATAAATATCCATATTTATTATTTTTTATAATTAATTTTTTTTTTAATAATTATATTTATATATATATATTATTTAAATATATTAATATTTCATATATTTAATTTATATTATTTTTATTTTTTATAACATTAAAAATTAAATTTTTAATTTTTATAATTATTTATTTATTTTTAATTATATTTTGTTTTAATTTATAATATTAATTTATATTTAAATTTATAATTTAATTATTATATTTTGTAATAGATTTCTATTATTTTAATAATTTTTTTCTTTATTAATATTTAGTTTATAATATAATAATAAATATATATTAGATTATAACTTTTTTGGATATTTTAATTTTTAAGTTTTTTTTTTTTTTGTATAAATATATAATTAAATTTTTTAAAATTTTTTATTCACCATTTTTACAATTTAATCTATAGTTATTAATGAGAATTTATTAATTAATTTTAGAAAATAATATATATAAAATTAATATATATTATTATAATAATTATCATAGTAAAACTATAATTTGATATTATTTTTTAATTTTTAAATTAAAATTTAAAAATAATATACATATAAGAAAATAAATATTCTAATCATTAATAGTTAAATATAAAATATACAAAATGGACGATATAGAAGAATAATTAAAGCAATTACAATTATCTATTTAAAATGCTCCAGATGATATAAAGATGGCTATCTAAGGAAAAAAATAAATTTTGCAATAAGGTTTAGTATCAATAAGCACAACTAATAAAGCAGATTATATAAGAATTTCAATCGAAACACCAGACCTTGACGAACGTAACCCTTGTGATGTGGTATGCGTTTTAGATATTTCCGGTTCTATGGCTACTGAAGCCTAAGTTAAAAACGCAACTTCAGATATAAAGGAAAGTCATGGATTAAGTTATCTTGATTTATTAAAACATGCTGTAAAAACAACTATAACTAACTTGGATGAAAAAGATAGATTTTGTTTAATTAGTTATAGTGATGATGCTCGTGTAGAATTTAAGTTAGACTATATGATTGAATAAAATAAAAACTTAGCCATAACTGCAACTGAAAATCTAAGAGATGAAGGTAGTACCAATATATGGGCTGGGCTTAACTGTGCTCTTGATATATTAAAAAATAATGAAATTAAATCTTAACATTAAGCTATCATTTTGTTGACTGATGGGGAACCTAATGTATTCCCTCCATCTGGATTAATTCCATAATTGGAAAAATATAAATCTAAAAATAAAAATTTACCTTAAATCAATACATTCGCACTAGGAAAGGCTATTAATACTGATTTATTAGATTCATATGCGAATATAGGAGAAGGTTAGTATTGCTTCATTCCTTGCCCAGGATTTATTGGCACTATTTTTGTAAATTCTCTTAGTAATATTCTAACTACAACAGTTAGTAAATGTGAATTATCAATTAATACTCTAAATGGGTGCAAAATAGAGAAAATATTAGGCGGAATTAATCTAATTAATAATACTACTATTTGTATGGGAGATATTAAATAAGGATAACCTAGGGATTGCTTATTAAAAATGAAATTCCCTGATGGTCTGAGAGAATAAAGCTTACCTTTTATGGATTTACAGGTAAAGTATTTTGATTATAAAACCTAAGGCTTAAAAATAGGAGAAGTTAAAGATGTAACTTTATTATAGAATGAAGATCCTCTTATAGACGCTTCTTATTGCAGGTTAACTTTTTGCGAAAGAGTTAAAGATGCAGTTTAAAAAATGAAAGATAAAAAATAAGAATAGGCTTAAAAAATTATTGCCGATTTAAAATTGGAATTCCAAGATATTTTAAAATAATTAGAAGATTAAGAAAATATAATTAAAGATAAAGAAGAAAAGTAATATTGGTTATTCAGAAATAGATAAGCCCAGAAATTTATTAGAAATATAATTAAAGATGTAGAAAAAGAAGTAACGCTAGCAGTAAAAAGAGAAGAATCATTTAAACATTGGGGATAACACTTTTTGCCGTCTTTGATACATTGCCATTTAAAACAATAATGTAATAATTTTATGGATCCAGGAATACAAGGATATGGAGGAAAATTTTTCTAATAAATTAAAGATTAAGTAGAAGAAACTTTTTTAAAATTACCTCCTCCAAAGCCTAGCAAAAAATAATAAGAAAACAATAATGTTAAAAATCAAACAAATTAAAAAAATCAAAATTAATAATAATAATAATAATAATAATAATAATAGTAATAATAAATGCAAGTAAAACTAAATGATTAATAGTAATAATAAGATTAAATTGATATGAATTAATATTATAATTGTGGAGGCGGTTGCTTTGAAGGGAATTGTTTAGTGTATATGTTTGATAATAGCTTTGTTAAAGTAAAAGATGTTAGAAAAGGTTTTAAAATAAAAGCTTAAGATGGTTAAATTCACACTGTAATAGCTGTTATTAAAATATTATTCGAACATGGATAAATTCCTTTAGTTTAATTAAAAGAAGGGTTATTAATCACTCCAAGACATCCTATATTAATCAATGGAAAATGGATTAAACCTGATTAAATTGAAAAAGCCTAATTAATTAAATGTGATAGTGTTTATAATTTTGTTTTAGATAAAGGACATAATATTTTAATAAATAATGTTACTTGTACTACTTTTGGACATGGATTTAAAGGAGAAAATGTTCATCATGATTACTTTGGAACTAATAAAATAATAAGTGATTTGAAAAAATTAAAAGGATTCCAAAATGGTTTTGTTGAAATTTATAATAAATAGTTTTTAAGGGATTAATTTTCTTAGAAGACATACGGATTGAAAGATATTGAGTGATATCATTATTATTATTTTTTTAAATTTTATTTTTTTAATTTTTATATTTTTTAATAATATAAATAAATATTAAACAATTTAATTTTATTTATAATAGATTTAATTTCTTTAATAAAATTACTAAAATATCAAAAAATCTTCTCATGTGACATATATTTTACATAAAATTGATTTTTTAAAGAATTACTTTATATATAAAAAAATAGAAATTAATATTTTCACATTTTTTTATATATTTCATTATAAATTCTTCTTCAATTCTCAACTTCTTTCTATTTTTAAATACATATTTTTTACAATTCACATGTAATAATATCTCCTAATTCTCCATTTCTAATTCCAAAAAATTATTAATTTAAATTCAATTATTCATTTTAAGCAGCTCTTAAATTAGTCATAATTTCAATTTTTTGATTTTTACTATCAAATAAGTTAATTCCGTTAAAATGTATAGAATTATCATCTTTAGTATCATTAGTATACTAAAAAATAATTGAATCATCGTTAATGTTAAAATTTATACTATCACTACTAGTATATTAATTATTTTTTAATTTGCGTATTAATTGAGTTAATTGTTTGTTTTGTTATTCTAAAAAAACATTTCTTTCTTTAAGTTCATTAATTTATATTTTTACATCATAAATTCTTTCTGTTTCCATTCTGTATGTAATTATTTGATTTTTTAATTAATTTTTTTCTTTTGCAAGTACAAATATCACTTAATTTTTTACATTCAATTCATTTTCCAATTATTTTATTTTTTATTTTAATTATTTATTATTAGGACTTAAAGTAAAGCATCGAGATAGGTTATTATTTTATTTTTTTATAGGTAAAGTTTTTTTTAGTATTGATTAATTTATAATATTTTTATTTTCAGATAATAGTAATAAAGGTTTTCTTGAAGAAAATTATTATTATTATTCAACAATATTCTATTTATTTTCTTTATCATTAAAAACAATTTATTAATTTTCCACTTTTTCAAAAGACATTTCAGCATCAGTACTAATTCTTTACTTTTTGTCAATAAAATCTTCAAATTAAAAAAGAAGAATATTTCCCTCAATATCTCCAGATATAAAGGAATAATTATTAATATTACAAATAGTATTTATCCTACATTTATGTACATCAATTTTTCTATATTTCCATGTACACATATTAAAAATCCTAATAGTATTTAAATCTCCTATAGCCAATTCATATGAATTTAATAAACATGCACAATATATAGGATTAAATAAAGTAATTTTTTTTATTTGTACCCCTTTTTTATATTCCCAAACCCGAATGCTCTAGTCACTACTTGCACTTATAATCAAATCATCTTAATGCTTCTATACGAAATAAATGCTCTTTTCTGTACTATGCCCATTTAAACTTCTTACTAATTATCCTTATTACCATTCGAAAATTTTCAGAAATCCTTAACTACCGCCGACTACTATACTTTAATCATCTATTTTGCATATTGAATTTACAATAATTTATTATTTAACCGAAAATTAAGAAATTAAGGACATTTTTACTCCATTTCCATTTATAATATAAATATTTCCACTTGAATCTCCAAATGCAATAATATCATTTTGTGATATTATTTTTTATATTGAATATATTTTTTCTTGACATTTATATATTCCTTCAACTTAAAATAATTTAGAAATTTTGAGAAGCTAATTTTCACAAGAAGCATATAAAAAATTTAGAGAAGAACAAAAGTTTTTACAGGTTAAATTATTACATGTAATTTTTTTTTTAGTTCAATGCATTAATTGTTTGTATTTTTTATTTTCCAGAATTTTATATTGCTATCACAACTACTACTAACTATGTTTTCTTCGTCAATTTTATGAAGTTAATAAATACCTGCCTGGTTTCCATTTTTTTACTTATCTTCAACTTTAATAATGTGTATTTTATTTGAATCTATAAAACCTAATTATTTGATATTAATATTAATATTTTTTTTTTTATACTAAACTATAAATTGTTTAAATTTTATTTTTCTAATTATTTCTATATTTCTAATATATTTATTAGTTAAATTTCATTTTCATAATTATAACCAACTAAAAAATATTGTTCCTCTTCTTATGAGAAAATCCAACCTTCCTATTAATTTTCTTATGTTATAATTTTATCCAATTTAATTTCTTTTATGTTTATTTATTAATGCGAATTAAAATTCATTAATTTAGCATTTTAAAAATTTTTGCATTTTTTAATTTAAATAAAATCTAGTGAAATGTTTTCGGCTAAAAACGCAATTACATAAAAACTATTTTTATCGAATAAAAGTTTTTTTATTAATATATTTTTGCCATTTAATCTTAAATATACACTTTAAGATCCTTAATATTAAATTAAAGTTTATATATGTGAAGTAAGTGCAAGTACACTTATTGGACTTATAAAAATACAGTCAAATTAAAAATTTTAACCTTAATTTATAAGTTTTCCTTAGCAATTAGGAGGAAAATTGATTTTCATTATTAAATTATAACTTTATTATAAAATTTGTCCTTTTTTTTTTAACTTAATATTTTTTTAACTTAAATATTTTTTTAATAAGAAGTATTCAAATAAATTAAGTAGAAATTTGAATTTTAAGTATTTAATATTAATAATAATAAATAGATAAATTAAATTATATTATATTAAGCCTTAAATATAATATAAATATAAAAAAAAAATTAGTTTTTGTTTTTAAAAATTAAACTTATCTCAATTTATATAAAAAAAATATAAAATCAATAATTTTATAATTAACTCTATATTTATATTTATTATATATTTCATTTATTATAATAAAAATACATATTTATATATTTAAATTTTATTAATATTTAATATAATATGAATTTTCTCTATTTACAATATTTTATAGAGATAAGAGTCATACTTTGATATATTATATAAATCATAATATTATATATTTTATATTTCACAATTAAATGTTCGAAGTTTTAATTTGTTTCTAAATTTCATAAATAATAATTATATATAAATTACTTAAAATTTAACAATTTTAAATAATCTAATATTTTTATAGCCTTAGTGTTTATTATTAAAATAAAAATTATTATTAATAAATTTTAATTTTATTCATTCATTTTTTAAAAGTAGGATTATAAAATTAAATTTGTATTTATTTCTTAATGCAATAATATTTATACTTTTTTTAGTTATATTATAAATTATATGTTAAATTTAAATATTTATAATTTATATATTTTCTATTAACCATATAATAGTTTTTCAAACATTTATCACCAATGTATCTTTATTTTTATATTAAAATACTAATTAACATTTATACTAAAGTGTCTTACATTAATTATAATTTAATTAATTATTTTCTACTTAAGATATCTGCGCATCTATTTTAGTTGTTAATATTTTATTTGTAGATACTTTTTTAATCTTTTTTCTATGAAGAAAAGTTTACTATTTTTTATGAATAATTTTTTGTATTTTCTTATTAATATTATATTATTTAATAATTTTCAGTTTTATATTTAAAATTATTAAAAGTGAAGTAAAAATATAGAATACTAATTATAAAAAATACTTTTTTTTTAATAAATTATAAAAATATTTAATATTTTTAAATATTCCTAAAAAAATCTAGATTATTTTGTAAAATATTAATTTTTTTTTTTCATAGTTATTTTAAAAATAGTCTTGATTAGTTTTTATTTTATAATTTATATTACGTTATTGTATATATATTATTATTATATTTTATTTTATTAGCATGTTATATTTATACATATCTATATTTATTAATTTTCTATTTTATAACTACCTAATATAACATCTATTTTAAAAAATTTATTAAAGATAAAATTATTAAAATATAAATCCTTTATATACATAATCAAATAAAAAATAAATAAATTAATTTTATAAAAAAAAAAAAATATAAAAAAAATAATAATAAAAAAAAAATGCAATAAATTCTCCCATACTTAGATTAATTTAACAATAAGTTAGGCTTCAAATAATTAGATTAAAAGAAAGAGCTTTAAATTATAACTTAAAAAACAGGTTTATTACCGAGTTAGGCTGTATTATTAGTAATCACACTATTACTTTCTTTAGTTGCTTTAAATATAGGATCTTTATTGATTTCTAACTTATTCGGGCTATTATATCCTGCCTATAAATCATTCAAGGTTTTGGAAAGTAATGCAAATTATGATGATAAATAATGGCTAACATATTGGGTAGTTTTCAGCTGCCTCACTGTTTTTGACAATTTATTACAGAGTTTATTATTCTTCTTACCCTTTTATTATTTGTTGAAATTATTCTTGTTTGTTTTTTTGTTTCACCCTTAAACCTTAGGAGCTACTTTACTATATGAATAAGCTTTAAAACCATTTTTATTTAAATACTAATCTAAAATAAATTAAAAATTAGATTAATTGAACTCATTTGAAGGTTAATAATTTGTTTCAGAAAAATCTTTCGAAACATTTGGAAGATCTAATTGATTTCAAAAAAAAATTCAAATCAAAAAATAATTAAATGAATATATATAAAATTTATATTTTTTATTTGAAATTTATCATATTTTAAAACTTTTTTTATTATTGAAATTTTATATTTATCAATTTATTTTTAATAGTGTTTAGATTATTTTTTATAAAATTATAAAAATTAAATATTCAATTATTTTAGTATATTATTATTAATATAAAAAATATTTAAAAAGTATAAATTTATAAAAAAAAATATAATGTTTTTTAATAAAAATAAAAAAGCCTAACTTTTATATTATATTTTTATTATATATAAAAAAATAATAGTTATTTTATATTTTATTATTTCTTTTGTTTTAAAAAAAAGAATTAATACAATAAAAGTTTTATTTTTTTTAATTTATAAAATAAAACAATAAACTGCTTATTAATATAATTATTAATAATAAAATTTTCAAAAATGTCACAAAATAAACTTTAAATAATATAGCTTCTATAAAAAATAATTGAGTAAGAATCTGTTCCAGAAAATAAACTCTTACATTAAGAAAGATTAATATATTACACATTAGACTGTTTAGAAAACCACCTAATACAATAAAAAGATCTTCCATTTAATTTATCAGAATAATTTATTCAATATTCAATGACTTAAAATAAAATTGCAATGGAATTTTTCGATTCAAATAATGAAGAAATGGCAAACAAACACTTATTAAAGGCTATCGATATGCTTTTAAATAAGCATTTACATAAATTTATTAGGCCTATATAATTGTTGGGTGAAATAAAAGTTTTAACATTTAATAATTTAGGGTGTATTTATCATAAAAAATAAAAACTTGTTTTAGCAATAAAAGCTGTTTCCTATGCAGTTGAATTAGAAGAAAAATTAGTTTCTGACGGACATTAAAATGCTTAAAAAAGTATAATTTCAACCTACTTAAATAAAGCGGCGATTCTTAATAATATCAATAAACATGATAAAGCTTTGGAAAGCTTAAATTAGGCTATGAATCATATTTTAAGATAAGAAAAGGCTTTAAGCGAAGAGAACAATAAAATAGAAGGAAATATAGAAGATACATAATAAATATAAAATTAAGAATAAGGAAATAATAATGAAGAAAATAATAAGAAAAACTAATAAAGTGTACTTAAAATGCTCAAACTAATGTGTTTGTATAATATGGGAGCTGAAAATGAACATCTTTTTCACAAAGAAAAAGCTAAGCATTATTATTAGGAATCGAAAAAAATTGCTGAAGAAATTGGAGATCTTAAAATGTAGAAAAAAATTAATGAAGCTCTAAATTTATGAAGAATATAAATAAAAATAAATAAAGTATTAATAATAAAAATATCACTATTTTTTTTAAATAAATTATATTTAATTTATATAACAATTATAATAATAATATTTTTAGCTTTATTTAGAAATTATAATTGATTAAAGTAATTCTTTTTTTTCTTCTAATTTTATATAATTTATAAATTAAATATAATATTCAAATGTATTCTTTGTATTCAATAATCAGAAATCATTTCAATTTGTTCGATATTTTATCGTTCATAAAAAAAAAATTACTTTAATCATTATTTATTTATTTAATAAAATATCCTCCAGAATTATAACTTTAACTATATTTTGAAAACAAGTTACTATTTTTGTTTGAAATAATAATAAAAATTATCTATTACTAAATTCTTTTGAATTTCAATAATATATAAATACGCTTTTCATTTAATTTTTTTTTGTTTAAAAATATTATATTAACTTTGAAGAATTATTTTTAAATTTATTAATAATTACAAAAAGCAAAAGCAGAGAAAAAAATTATTTAATTAAAATTATAATTATAAAAATTAAATTATGCTAATATAATAAATATTTTATAAATGGATTTAAATTATGCATTTACATAAATTATTTTTATAATAAATATAAATTGCATATATATTTTTATTTAAATAATTTTGACAAAATTAATATTACTCATATCTAATTTAAACAAAATTTCATGTAAATATAAATGAAATAACATATTATTTATTAATATATTAATTTACTTATAAACTTTTAGTTAGTAGCATTAATGCTTTCAATATATTCTTTTTAAAAACTAGCTAGATTTCAATTGATTATTATAAATAATATATAATTTAATTTTTTTTTATTAAATTTGGATATGATTAATTATTTCTTTTATAATTCTTGCAATTAATGATAAACAATTTTTTATTAAAGTTATAAATAAATTATACAAAATATAAAATATTAATTTTATGATTTAAAATAATATATTTTTGTAAAAAATGTTATTTTTAAAAATATATAAATAATTGAAAATTATCAAAAAAAACATTTTGTAAATTTTGCATATACATATACTATATTTATATATTATATACATTTTATTTTTTAAAAAAATCTTTTTTTTGTGTTATTTTTATATCATTAAATTTTTTCTTTTTACATTACTATTTTTTTTATTTTAAACTAAACATTCAAATATGTTATTATTAAATAATTAAGAACCAATGATTTAAATAATTTATTCAGTTCTTAGTCTTTTATTTTTATCAAAAGCAATTAAATTATTAATCATTTCTCTTAGTTATTTTAAATCAATTTCTTCAATTCTATTTTATGTTTATACAAAATAATTAATAAAAATATTATAGCAAAAACCTTAAAAACCTTCTTTAGCAATAAATTATTAAAGTTCCATATTTTAATGAGCAAATTATCACTTAAAAAGAGCTACTAAGAATACATATTCAAAAAGGCTGACTCCAAATGCAAAAGCGTCAGCTTTATCGATACTTGCAGTTAAATGATTATTTTTAGTATTTTTCTTATTATTTTATTATACTAGCTCTTAGTTTAGGACTTAAATAATATTGATATATCTTTATTTTCATTTTTTCTATTACAATTCTATATTGATATCATTAGAAATTCAAAATCAGATAGTCTAGCTGTTTTTTGATCAAAAACAAGTAAATATATTTTCAAGTTTAAGGTCATTATGGACAATACCTTTATTTTGTAATTAAACTAAATATAATAATAAAACAAAGTTTAGCTTGTTTTTGATTTATTAGTTTATGATTGAAATATTTTTGAGCAGATTTATGTTAGGAAGTTTATATTTTCATAGTAATCTATTGATTTTCTTCATAAGTAATCTTTAATATTGTAGAAAATACAGTGATTTTGATTTGTTCTATGGAAATTTATTTTCTGAATCAATTAAGATTATAATTATTTTTATGTTTTTTAATAAAATTAATTATGTGTGTAGTTTAGATATAAATCATTTTTAAAAAAATATATATTTTCTAATTGAAATAAAGTTATATAATTTCTATTATAGTAATTTTATATTATTATTTACTATATTTTTTTCTATTTTAACGAGATTTATAAACCAAAGATAAGATAAAAACATAGTTAAACAATTTTTTTTTAATCAATAATTAGTACATAACTAAAATAATTTAATATTTTAACAAAATTATTGTTTTTATTGTATTTTTAATTTATAAATTATAATAGGATTTAATCGAATTGCTAAACTTTTTTATTATATAATTATTGAAATTTTATATTTTTTCATTAAGTTAAATAATTATAATAAATAAATTAATTTAATGTCACATATAAAAGGAAACATATTTAAAATAATATATGTTTATTAAAAAATAAAATCATTTCAATTTAATATTCTATTAGTTTTGTTAAAAGAGGATTTTTTTTAAAAAAAATATAAGTAAATTAAAAATAAAAATAAATAAAAAATGAATTTAAAAATTAAATGATTATAATTAATAATAAAACAGTTAAATTATTTTGTATTTTTAATTTTAAAATTCAATATAAATAATCATAAGTTTTATAATTTATACTTTTATTATCGCATAAAAATTTATTTTTCATTTATATTTAATTTTTTTTTTTTATTTTTAAAGATAATTAAATGCGTATTTTTATTTAATTTTTTTTTTTTAAAAAAAAAAGATAATAAAATAGGGAAAAAAAAAAAAAATTAAGAAACCAAATAAAAATATAAATTTAAATGATTGGAGGTATTTTTTTTTGATAAAATTTTATTTATTTTAATGTTTACTTTATTTATCATAAAAAAGCTAAAAATGAAGCTTTAAGTTCAAATATAATAAAAGGAGATGATAAGCAAGAATAAAATTAACTTAGCAACATATAACTTTTGAATGAAATAAAGGTTTTAAAAAAAGAAGTCAGCTTTTTAAATAATTTAAGTAAAATAAAATTATAAATGCATTAAAAATAAATATATCAAGACAGTAGATTAGGAAAATAATTAAAAATATAATTGTCAAATAATGAGAATATTAATGATATGGATTTTAATTATACGAGAATCAATGAGTTACCTTATTTAGAATAATTATTGATGGCATATGATGAAAAAATAGAAATTATTGAACTTTCATTATAAAATGTTTATGAAGATTTTAGAGAAATATAAAAAAAGTCAGAAGTTATAGTTGAAGAAAATAATTATCTTTAAGATTAGCTGAAAAAAAAATGTTAGTAATTATTTAAAATTTATTAATTTATTTTTTTAAATTAAAAACTTTAAAAAAAAATTAATATTTTTTAATTATAAAAATAAGGGAAATTTAATAATTATAAATTGATGGAATGCCATTATAAAATATGGCCTTGAATTTTTGTAAACAATATATAACATAATATATATAAATCAAAAAAATACATTAGAAAAACTAGAAAGAGAAGATTTAAATGAAAGAATAATATTATTAACGCAAGAAAACGAAGAAATAATACAAAAATTCACACAATTACAACAAAAATATAATAACCTTTAAAGAAAATCAGAAACAAAAATGAACGAAATGGATTAGCAATTATAATCTTACATAGAAATCAGAGATAAATTAAGGAATTAATAATAAGAAAATGAAGAAATTAAGATGTAAATAGAGATTTTATAAAATAAGCTAAAAAACTAAATAGATAGCTAAGCATTTAATTAATGTGAAAAATCTGATTTAAAAAACAAATTATCAATAAAAGAAAACGAAATCAAGTTGCTTAAAAGCCAAATTTAAAATTTTAAAGATGTTTTGAAGGAAAATGAAGAAAAAAACGAAATAGAATAAAGCACTTTATTGAAAAGTATCGAATAATACAAATTAAAGGAAAGAGAATTGTTATAATAGCAAAGCAATTTAGAAAATTAAATTAATATTTTATAAGATCAAAATAGAAATGTTTGTAAAGATTCAGAATAAATGAAAGTAGAGCTAGATTAGATGGTCAAAATGATGGAAAATTATGAGACCAAAATTAATATGATGGAAAAAAAAGAGGAAAATACTCAAAAATTAATGAAGGAATATAAAGAAAAAGTATAAGAATCTTTTATTGTTAGAGATAAATCAACTTTAAAAGAAGAAAAACTTTAAAATATAATAAAAACTAATTAAGAAAAAGTAATTTTATTATTTAATTTTTCTTATTTATTACAATTTAAATATAGTTTAAAGAAGATATGAATTAGTTAAAAGTTTAGCATGAGAAAATAATTGAAAATTTAAAAAACAAAAATAAGTTAATTACTGATGAAAGAGAAAAAGAATTAAAATAAGCTTTTGAATAATTAAATAGTACAAATTATTAAAAAGAAAATTACAAAAGAATTAAACTTTCTATAATCTGAATATAATAAAATTGTCTCAGAATTGGAATTAAAAAGTAAAATTATTTTGTATTATATGAAAAAAATAAAAAAAAGCAAGTAAAAATGATAAAATAAATGAATTAGAATTACAAATAAGTAATATGGAAGAAAAATTAAGTTTATAAGAATAAAAATATAAAAATTTAGATGAGAATTATAAAAAAGCAATAATTAAATTATAAAGAGATATTGAAAAATATAAAGAAGAAAATAAGAAATTATTTAATGAAATATAATAATTTAACTAATAAATTGGTTAACTTAATAAAGAAAAGGAGTATTTTTAAAATGAAAATCTTAACATTAAAAAAAATATTGAAGAAAAATATTAATAAAATTTTAATCTATTTAATTTGAAATATAAAGAAATAACTGAACAACTTGCAGAGTCAATTAAAAGAGAAAAACAAGCAAGAGAAAAAGCTATATAAATATTTTAAACACATGAAAAAGTATTATTTTAATAATACTAAAAAAATATTTTATATATTTTTTAAAAATATAGATTGAAGAAAAAATGAAAAGTGATTATGAATTAAAAATCAGAGAATTAGAATAATATATAAATAGAAGATGAAATAATATATTTAAAATAATAAAGAAAATTGAAACATATTATTATTAAATATAAAATATAAAAATATATATTATGAAAATATATATATATATTTAATATGTATATACATTTATATTTAATATATTTTTTTATAAATACATATTATTTAATTCAATTATTAATGTACTATACTAAAAATTATTAAATTTTGTAATTTATAAATTAAGAAAATAAATTAAACTAAGTTTTAAAATAAAATTTATTATTAAGTAGCTTTATAATCATTTTATAATAAATTATAAATAAATCTTTTTATAAAATTATTATCTATATTTTTAGATTAAATATTATAATTAATTAATTATTCACTTTTTTAGCTATATTTAATGGGATCATAACCTACAAAATCTAGTATTGGTATAAAATATTTATTTGAGTTTATAAAGCCAATATTTTTTTTAAGAATAAAAAAATAGAGTTGATTTAATATTATATTTATAAAAAAATATTGATTAATGCCAAAATCCAAAAGAAATAACTAAATTAGTAGTATTTTTAGAAGATCAAAATTAATATGTTTTGAGAAAAAATATACTAGGATAAGGTGGAAAAGGATGTGTTATAGAAGGTTTTAAATATAATAAGGATTTAGCAATTAAAATAGTCCATTATAATAATTAAAAAGAGTTTAATAGAAACATGGAAGAATTTTTATACTAAAAATAGTTTGATTGTAAATATATTGTAAATATAAAAGAAAAAATGTAATTAGATATAGGTAAAAATAAAGGGTATTAATTTTATGTGATGGAAAAATGTTAGTGTAATGATATTAAAACCATTTTTTTTAATATATTTTTTTAAATAAGTTAATTTAAAGGAGTTTCTTATAAAATAAAAATTTAATTTATAAAAGGAATAAGTATACAGTATAGCGCTTTAACTTTTAAAAGGATTATAAAAGTTGCATAAATAAAATCTCATACATTTAGATATTAAACCTGCTAACATAATGTTCGGATATGATAATTATTGGAAATATAGTAATAATATTAAAAAAAAAAAAATTGTTTTTAATATTTTTTTTTTAGCTGATCTTGGTATTGCTAAAGAACTTAAAAATTAAAAGTAAAGTACAATAAACTTAGTAAAAATATATTAATAAAAATAAATTGTTATTTATAAATAAATTTTTTAAAAAAGAATGGTTTTACGGCTTAATATTCTTCACCCGAATAATATTAAAATATGAATGGGATAAATATGACAAAAATTACATAAAGCGTATATAATTTATTTTATGATTTGAATTTATAATTAAATTTATGCATTTATATTATATAGAGTGATATATATAGTTTGGGAATCGTTTTTTTATAATTAACTGGAGTAACAACAAATAAATAATGGATTTTTTAAATGAAAGTAGGTGTTAATAAATAATATTAACAACATCTAAATAATAATTTTGATGAATTTAATAAATAAGTTATTTTATAGATGTTAAATTATGATTAAGAATAAAGAATTTAATTAAAAGAATTAAAAAATATTATAATTAAATTAAACTAATAACTTTTAGAAAATAATTAAATGAAGCAATCAAATTAAAATAATCAAATAATTTAAACAGAATAAAATAAAAAAATAAAAGTTTAACTAACACCCTAAAAAACTTTTAAAATAAATCGAATTAATTGTAGTGTAATTTAGGATGACTTAGATGGATTATTAGGAATGGAATAATAAGGTACTTATCGATTTAAATCAACCCGTTAAGAATATTACAAAAATAATAAAATTAATATATTTACTGTAAAAAGCTAATAGATATTGAATTGAATATTATTTTATAATTATATAAATATATTTTTTTTCCAGATTTTATATAATTAATATTTTTTAAAATGTAAAAATTTTTAATTTATTATATAATTTATAAAATAAAAAATATATTTTTATTTATATTATGACTTTTAAATATCAACTATCATTTTTTTAATTTAATAAAATTAGAAATTATATTTTTATTTTTTTACCTTTAAAAAAAAGAAAAAAAAAAGAATAATTAAATAAATTTCTTAGAAAAAAATAATAATAATACAAATAAAATATACATAACATATTAGTAAAATGATCAATTTTAAAAAAATTTTCAGCATAAATATTCTAAAATAAAACAAATTAATGTTTAATTATACTGAAATAATAAAAGATGAATTAAAATTAACAGATTTATGTAAAAAAGTAAATTTTTAATATAATAAATATATTTAAAAAAAAAATATTAATAATTTTAAGATGATTTTATAAAAAATCAAAGATGACAGATTTCTTCGTTTAATAGTTGATAGTGGAGGTAAAATAATTTTAAATTATTTGTTTTATTTTAAATTTTCAAAAGAGGGATGTGGAGGATTTGTTTATAAATTTTAATTTGATTAAAATGTAAATGAAGAAGATGTTGTTTATAAAAACGAATAAAATAAAATTATATTTGCATGTGATGATTTAACATATAACTTTATTAAAGGAGCAACTATAGATTATGAATAAAATATGATGAAAAGCTCTTTTTATGTTTAAATTAATCCAAATTCTGAGAAAGAATGTAGTTGCAAAGCTTCGTTTTCGCCGAAATAATCTGTGTTTTAAAACTGATATTTTAAAATTTAATAACAAATTTCTTTGATATTCATATTATTTTAGAATTAGGAATATATAATTAATTTTTTAATTATAAAAAAAAAATGAAAATTTATATTTTATTTATTTTTTTCTTATGAAAAAGTTTAAATAATTAATAAACTTTAGCAAATAAATATATTCAAAAAATACGTATAAATATTTTAATTTAAAAGCTATTTTAATTAATAATTTTAAGATTAAATAATTATTAAAATATATATAAAATATACTTTCTAAATAATTATACAATATTATTTAAAAAAAAACTAATATTCTCGATTTAATTTTAAATAGAGTATTATTTTTTTTTTTCAGCAATAATTGTATAAACTATACATATAATATAAATTAATTCTTATTAATATAGTAAAAAAAATTTAATTTATTTTTTTAGAAAATAATAATAAGCATATTAATAATTAATAAAGTTAAAATCCATTATTTTATGTTAAATAAATATATTTTTTAATATATAACATGTATATATTACTTGCTCAAACTTAATTTTTTATTTTTACTATTTTACTATAATTTTTTTTTGAAATATAAAAAAACTATTCTCCATTTTTTTATATCGCCTATTGAAAAAATTAATATATAAAATATTATTAATTATAATTTATACATTTTTTCTTTATTTATATAATTTAAATCTGCTTCTTAGTTTATTTATAAAATTAATTTTTTTTTACAGAATATTGGTTTAATTTTAATTTTTAGATATCTCATTATTCTTTTCTATAAACAATGTTTTTTAAAAAAATGCATTCATTGACTCTTTAGGTAGGTAAAATTATACTTTAAATCCATTTTTTTTATAAATAATATGTTTAATTATATCTAAATTTCGAAATATTTAAAGAAAAAATTTTTAAATTAAAAAGTAATAAACTAATTAATATTTGAAAATTAATTATAAAATATATAAAAAGTTTTAAACAATAATAAGACTTATTAAGCTAATTAATTTTCAATTTTTTTAAATTAATTTATTATGAAATTGTTTTGAACACTTAAATATATTAAAGTCTTTAGTTTCTAATTAATTATTATCAGTTATTATTTTAAAGCATTTATAATTAAATAAATTCTTTTTTTCTCAGAATCTATTGATAGTTATTTTAAAAAAAAGTATTATTTCAAAATTGATACTTTTTAGTCAAAAAAATCAATTAAAATTGTAAAAAAAAAAAAGAATTGATTTCATAAAAAAAAATTAATAGATAGTTTTTATATTTTTGCTAATAAATATTTTTTTTTTAAATAATGTAAAACAAATTAATAATAAAATTTAAAAACATAAGTTGAATTGAATTTCACATTATAAAAATAAAACAAAAATTATATTAATATAAAATTTGATAATATAAAAATAATATTTTAATATTACAAAATATGGTAAATTCATTATTGTATAAAATTTACAATAATCTATTATTATTTAAAATGCTTCCTTAAAATTTTTATAAAATCTCTCGCCTTTTTATCATCATCATACAAAATAGTAACTTCAGTAACTTTTTTTCCAATAACATTTTTTACAGGAATATCATATTAAAATATAAACTTTTTTTTTTTTTAATTATATATTACATTTCTTATTTTATGCAAAATCACTTTTGAAAATTCAACTTAAGAATTTTTCTAATATTTAAAAAAATAAAAATAAATTTAAAATTTTATTATATTTACTTTTGCATAAACAAGCCTTAGATCAGTCAAAACAATTTCCCTTATAGTTCTTTTAAGTACTTTAATTTCATCATAATACAATATACTTTCATATTTTTCAGGTTTGAGCTTCAATTTAGTCAATATATCAATTCCTATAACTAATTAATATTAAAACTTATCAATTTTATCATGAAATATTCTTGGTGGTCTACTTCTGTTTTCCATTATATGTTCTTCAAAAATAGCTTAATTAAGTAATCCCTATTTATATAAATACTTTTTAGTATTTTATTTAAAAAAAATACATCACAAATACTAATTAAATAATCATAAATACCAATAGATGGCTTAATTATTAAGCCAGCAGCAGCTTAATAAACGCCAAAAATAAATCCTAGAATAATTTTTTTTCTACATCCCTTCAAAGGCCTATATATAATTCCAGTTAAAGCATCAATTAATGCAGCAATTAAATTTTTTCCACCTTTTTTTTTAAATATTTATATCTTATATCTATAAATAATATACCAATAATTAATCCATCATGTAGGCTTTTAATTTGTCTATTAATTTTTATTTATCTATCTTATTAATATCTTTTATGAAAAGTCATTTTTACAATAATCCTTGCAAAAAATCCTAAAAATAAATGTTAAGTAATGATATAAAAAAAAAAAATATACCTGTAATATTTTTTATGGTTTTATATACACTTTGTATTGTATTTTAAACTAAAGTTAAAGCTCCTTGAGCGAAATCTCCAATTGCTTATTTTCCATTTCCTTTAGTTAAAGCTTTTAATGGGTCATAAATCATTTTGGAAACACTAGAAGTTATTTCATTTACAAGTTTTACAGGGTTTCCTATAGCTTGAAAACTACCAAAGATTTTATATAATTCAATCATAAACTAAGTAGTATAATGTTTAAATATTCTCGTTTAAATATTTTATGGTGTATCATATAGATGAGATTGATTTAAAGCATTTAATTTAATATTAGCTTAATCAATAGAAACTAATTCAAGTCCTTTTTATAAAAATTATATATAAATAATATAAAAAAAATACCAAATTATTGAAACACAGCTAAAGGTGATAATTTTAAAGATCCATAATTCTACTAGTTATCTGACATATTTAGTGTTAAGCAAAAGTCAATAGGCTGAAAGTGCAAATGCTTAATATATATAGCTTTTTTGCTATTTGTTTAATTTTATTTTAGATTTTTTTATAATACATCATCTAATTAGTCTAAAATAAAATTTTCTAAAATCATTTAAACTTAAGAAGGCTTATTAACTTCATTTGTGTGATAAGTAACTTTATCAATTTAAGATTTAAATTTAAGAAAACTTTAAATAATTTATTAATCTATCCTAATTTCAAAATGATCAATGTAAACTTATAAAGAGTTAATCCATTACATAGATTCTTTTTAATGATAGGCTTAAAAATAAAGTGATTATTATGATTCCATTTATTCTTAAATATTTTAATTCTCTTTTGTTTCATCATTATGTTATTCTATATTTATAGCATTTATTTTAAAATTATTTTTTTAATTCATTTGTTATGAAATTAGATTTTAATGTGTTTCTTTATTATTAACATTATTATAAACATTATTATTATTATTATTAATATTATTATTATTATTATTATTATTATTTAATTATAATTAATCTTATTTAACATCATTTTTATCATTTGCTATGTCTATTTCACTACTTACTTTTGAAACTCTTCTTTAATTTAAATTTAAATATTAGAGTTAAGGTTTTTATTATATGTTATTTTAACTATTACTAGTTACTATTTAAGGATGGTTTTATAAATTTGATGCATTTTATATTAAAGGAGATTAAATAGATTATTATATTTTTTGTCTTTCTTCTTGCACATCTTAAACTTCTTGATTATCTATATTTTTCCAGTTCACTTGTATGAAAATAAATGGCGGAGGATTTTCCCCTGTTTTTTTCTTATCAGAGGCAAATACGACAGGAAATTACGCTTTTTCATTTTAATTATTAACAAAAATATTTTCTACACTAAATTAAAGAATATTATTTTAAATATTTTTCGTAATGTTTTTTTTTTTAATTTATTCATTCTAAAACTAATCTTAATTATTTTCCATTTCATCAATTTAAGATTTATTATCAATTAGTTTTTCCTAATCATTGTCTTTTACTTCCTTTATATATCTTTCATTCTTAGAGTAAATACATTACAAATTCTTAAAAGATATAGAAAATAACTCAAATGTTTTATTATCAATAATACTAATTCCAATCATATTACTAATAGAAACTTTCAAAATATTATTTTTAGTTTGGAAAGGTTTCCCATCTTCATCATAGGTAATTAATTCATTCTCGACTTTGTTTTTACTATTGTTATTATTGTTATAAATACCTATTCTTTAAACAAAAAATGTAATTTCCATAGTCCCGTTTCTAGGTTCTATTTTAAAATCGACCTTTTCAGGAGTATTTACTAATATAGACTAATGAATACAATTATACCAATCAATATATTCTTTTGATTGATTTTAAATCTTTACTTCGAACATTTTTTAAGTATTTGTCGTAATCAAAAAACCGTTTCGGCTTTATTCAAGTTTTGCTCCTAAAATTTTTATTGTTTAGTATTTTACATTAATTATATAAAGTTTTATTTTTTATTTATTTATATCTAATACACAGAAATATTAGCGGAATACATTTTTGAAGTTATCGCAAATATTTAAATAACCTTTTTTAAATAAAAGCTTATTTTTTTATTTTTAGAGCTAGTTTTGGATATTATTATTTATATTATCGCTTTTTTATAATGTTATAGGCTCATAGTTTTTTAATTTATCTAAATTATAAACTTATTTTACTTATTCGATTTCAACTTATATCTATTTATCACTGTCTAAAATCCAGTGATCCCAAGTAAATCGAATTCTTTATTTAGGAAAAATAATTTTCCTTTCTGTTGTGAAGTTTTTTTTTTTACTTCCACAACACATTAGTCTATTATCTTTATTATTAATAAATTGCTAAATAAATATTTCATGAGATGTTTAATTATATATAATATAAGGAGGTTATTATTTTTCACTTAGTTTTATACATATTACATTATCTTAAAATAAAATATTAACTGTAATATATTTATATTATTTCTTTTAATTTTACAAAAAAGGAAGTTTTACAGCAAAATCATTTATCTTTATAAAAAAAGTAAAAATAAATATTTATATATTTAAAAATATTTAATTACTTCATTAATTTTAAAAGGATTACTTTTTAAATAATTTTTTTTTTTTATGTTATCTTTTAAACTTTTGTTTTCAAATGTATTATTACTTACTTTTTTTTCTCTTGAAATCGAAAATTTTTTTTTCGGTTGTTACGTTTCTTATTTATCTTTTATATCATTAAAATCTATAATTTACAATTAAATAGCTTTTTTATAACTTTTAGTGACCCAAAAGAACTCCTTAGATTTCTAAGATTATAAAGTGAAAATTTTTACATTATTATCATCATCTAAATATTAGAAAATATCCAAAGTTTAACTCGTGAAATTAAAAATATAATATTTTGGTTTTATTTCAATAATATTTGTCCTATAAAAACTCCCCTAACACTATCTAATATTCACATTAAACTCGAATTCGTTTTTATTATAATTCATTAAAGGAATATTGACATTATTTTTTTATTATAGACTAATTTTTTATGACCAATCATAGTCCAAAGCCGTTTTAGTATCCCTAAAAGCGAATTTCATAACTCTAATATTATTTGAAGATGATAACACTTATACTTTATTTTAATAAAGGGTTTAAATATCTACAGGAATATTCGAATTTTGCATATTGTTTTCTTTTATTTGTTCAATATCATTGGCAATATTATATTTTTAATTTTTTTCATATTTTTTATAATAAGCGAGATATTGACCATCACTATAAACTAAATCCTATTAAGATTTATTATGAATTAAATAAGGAATATACATAATAATTTCCCTGCAATGTTTTGAAATTTTAATATGTTCAAAATGTAAGAAAAAATCCAAATCTTTTCCACTTAATTTATGCACTTCAGTTTTTTTAAATTTCATTGGAAAAACATTTATATGTATAAATTTATTTTATTACGTTGTTTTCTCATCTTTTTAATCATATTTTTTTATACTTAATTACACTTATTGGCTCCACTTAACTTTATAAGGAATTACAGATTGATCCATAAAAAGTACTTTTTTTATTTATTAATCACCTATTTAAATTTAAAAATTTAAAACTGTTGCGTTTGTTATTTTTAAAACTGGGTTTACTACTAAAATAGTATCATAACAAAAATTTTCAGTTTCTTTAGTTTTATAAGTTGACTAAATTATTTATCGGTTTTTTATTGTCGAAATAAAAAAAAAACTTTCTTGGGTATCTATTTAAACATCTTATTTATGTACCAAACGTGTATTTTTGTCTTCTATTTAACCCAAAATGTCCACGAATATATTCTCATCATCAGTTTCAAAATCTGATATATAACTATTGTTTCTAATTAGGTCACTTAAAGCATAAAAGTTAATGTCTTTCTCTTCATTTTGTTGTTAGTTTTTTTCATTCTAATATTTTTTATCTTATTCAGAAATTTCAAAGCCAATAAAGGCGAATTTTTCCAAATATTATAGAGGTATGTTAATGTTTTAATTTTTTTTTACTTCGAAAATAGTTTTTGTTTAAGTTTTATTATGCTTAGCATCTATATTTTCAAAATCATTTATATTCATTTTAATTTATATAAAAGGTAAATTAAACTTATTTATTTCCACTTATTATTTAGATTAAGTTTAAATTTTAAATTAGTTTATTTATTTTAATTAATATAAATTTTTTTGTGTAGGATTTAAATATAAATAAACTTTAAGATTCTCATTTAAATTATTATATAAATTAATAGAGCTAGATATTCTTATCATTTTGTGTCCTTATTTTTGGTCTATATTTGTTTCTAAAACAAAATAATGTTTATCCCATCCAGGTAATCTTTTTTTGCTTGTAAACATGAAATTTTACATTAATTTATTTTATTATTCTTTATTTTATTTTTATACTTCATTATTTAAATCAGAATTAATAGACTCAATTTCATAGAATTACTTTCCTACAAAATCCAAGGAAACATTATTAATAGTTCTATATTCGCTAAAATTTTTAGTAATTAGTAATTTTCGTCCTTTAATATTTTTCTCATTACCTTTTTCATTATTAATTTAATTCATATTATTATTATTATTATTATTATTATTATTATTATTATTATTATTATATTATTTATAATAATATTTTCTCTATCTTAATTATATGAATTATAACTTTAACTTAAATTCATTTGATTAGAATTTCCATAATTTACACATAAAAAAGTTGCAAAATTACCTGCAGTACTAGAAAGACTTTCCTATTAAGTTTAATTAAACTATGTTTTATTTTTTCTCAAAGTAAATTAACTTAAAAAATTCATTGCTTTCGCATAATCTTATTAATTTCCTTAAACTCTTTAAGGCTAATTTAATTATTTCTATAATTAATTTATAACATTATTCATATATTTTTATTCTAGATTATTAAGTCTCTTATCTTTTTCTTCATTTAAAATAATAAAATTTACTAAAAAATTTCTACTTTTGTTATTTTTTATAGGATTATTATTTTAATCTTTCTCTTAAGTAAATTTAGGCTAAACATTTTTATTTTTTCCTGATTCTACAAACTACTAAAGTAAATTTTCAATATAAATCTTCTTTTTTTCGCCTATAGTAAAAAGTACCCCATATCCCAAATTATTCTAAATTTAATAAGGATCTTCTGTATTTTAAGGTTCGCTGTATATATTTGCAGTTTCAATAGCTGTTTCTAAAAAAGCAGTACTTATATTAATATTAAGAGAATTTTCATTTAATTATACACTTTCAGGAATGCTTTGTTATTCTTCATTTTTTATTTTATTTTATTTTACAAAATTCTTTATTTCTAATTCTATATCTTAGTGCTTTTAAATACTTATCTAAGAATCAATTAATTTTTTTCTTATAAAAAAAGTCCAAGGTTCTAAAAATGGCTCGTAGAATTATTTCCTTTTATTAAAATATTTTATTTTTAAACATCCTTTAAGTCCTAGATAATAATTATTATATTTTGTGATTTTTTTCATAATTAATTTAGAAATTTTTATTTTAGAAATTTAATTTCCAAAAGAATTTTTCAATACCTCGATTTTAAATCTTTACAATTATATTTTCATTACATTTATACATTTTTCCTAAAATTAAATATTCTGAGCCTAAATTTACTCCCAAGACATCCTAATAGGCTCGAAATTTTAAATTTAATCATAATTAATTATTTTTTCTTAATTATTCGATATAATATAAAAATTTTCTGTACTTTATTTTTAATTGTATAATATGTCATGTATTTTATTATTCGAATATCTAATCCTATTCTATACATTTATAATTTACCTGAAATCTGTAACCCTATGGATTGTATAATAAGAAGGGTTAAATAAAGATGAAGTAATTCCGATTATTTTTTTTACCTAAGAAATGCAAATAATAATATTCCTAAATTTATGTATTTTATTATTATCAATTTTAATCACAACTTCTTAATTTGTGAAATTTCCATTTCCTTGACTAGAAAAATCCTACGTATTATCTTAATTTTTCATATTTTATTTATTATCATCATTTTCAATTTAACTCAAAATATTTAAATCAGGAAAATTAACCCTATTTTTATAAAATTCAATCTTATATTTATTAGAAAAATTAATCGAAAATGGAATAATAATATTTTAATTTTGATCTTCATAAATTAATTAATTGTCATAAATATCAATTTTAGATAAATCATCCTATTGCTAAATATTGTTCTACTATAATTCATCTCCTTCATGAAATATTTTATTTTATTATTTGTTTAATTTCATCTATTTTATTTATCTAATAACTTTATAAATTGAAGAATTAATCCCTTTACTATTTTAAATCTACTACTATTAGGCTTTATATAAAAACTCAGATTTAAAAATTTAAACCCTATTTAAATTTGCATTTATGTCCATATAGGCACTTCCTGGTCCCATAAAACTATCTCCTATCCACTCTTATAAATAGTCCACATCTAAATTAATCGCAAGGCAATTTTAAGAATAGTCGTTTAGATTTTCATGTATTATAGCCCATATATCTTTGGCTAAAATCTTAACCACCATAGGAGGATAATTATTATAATCTGGCTGTTTGAAAAAATATTTACTTTCAATATCATCTGAACCATTAAATGGAGTTCGGAAAAATTTAACTAAATCATCTACAAAATCGTTTAAAAAAACCAAGTTTTTGCGAAAAAGATTTATTTTTATTAATTTCTCACCATCTGGTTAAGAAACAAAAACTAATTTTAAATCACATAAGGAGTATCCTTCATTCAAATTGGTAAAAATTTTATCAATAACTTTACTACTATTTTTATTTTTTAAGTCTTTGTTTTAAGCACCATAATTTATTAAATCTTTTATTTCTTTTCCTAAATATTTATACATGTCATTATATAAAAACTGTTAAAATTTTTAATCCATGTATTCGAAATTTATTATTTAATGATCTAATGTTTTTGCTATTTTTTTTTATATAAATAAATTAAAAAAATATTTTGTTTACATAAGCATTAATTGTAATTATATATAACCCATTTTCTTACTTGTGGAAAATTATCTTAAGGCCAAATTAATGTATCGTTTTCTTTTTTTTTAAATATAATATTTATATTTAAATATCTTTATATTTTTTTTTTTTACTTAAAACTAATTTTTTTTTTTTTTTTATATATTTTTAATTTTAATCTTTATCTTATTCTTAAAATTTATAATTTTAAGAAACCTAGTCCTGGTTAGTATTGTCGTCTTCTTATTATTTTCTTTTTTAACATATTCTTGAGAAGAACTATTTGACTTTTTACCAAAATGTTTGTTTATTCTATGTCTAGTTTTAATTGATTTTGCTTATTTCATCTTAAATATTTGATTATGATATTTTTACTATTTGCTAATTATGCTAATTATTTTCAAAGCTTAAATTTTAATCATTTTTTTTATTATTAGCTTCTTTATCTTCCTCTTCTTTTTGTTCTCCCTTTTCTTCTTCATTATTAAATTCATCAAAGTCTTTATTTATTTCTAAATCCGAGCTCTAAATACTATCATTATCTTTATATTCTTTTTCTTTAAATTAAAATTTCGAGTTTGTTTATTATTATTGCCATTTACCAATATCAAACAAAATTTAACTATTTTTCATTTAACTTGTTAATCTAAAATCATTTATTTTTATTTTAGAAACCCATAATTTCATTAACTTTCCACCATTTTCTCTCATATAAAAATGATAAATTAAATTATTTATATTTATTTCAGCTTTTATAAATATATTTTATCAAAAAATAAAAATATAAATATACCTAAACTTGCTGGATTATGTACAAGAAATACATTAGTGTACTTTTATAGAAGTTAATTTTAGCTTTCTTAAATAATATCCAAAAAATTAATAAAATTTTCATTTAATTTAATATTTTTTTCTTAATTTTGTTAATTTTTTTAAGAATTTTGACCTTGTCCTTGTCCTTGACCTTGACTTTAACTTTATTACTCTTTATTATTTTATATTTCTAACTTTAAGGCAGATGTTTTTAATGCTTCTTCTTTTTTCTTTTATTATGATGATTTCTATTTTAATTTTATTTCATGATTATATAGGTTATTATCTAATCGATAATCTTAATAATTAAAATCATATTTGTCTTATAAATAGAACAATAAATCATCTCTTTATCCTTAAAAGCATTTTAAACTAATCTAACCTACTTCTATATCACAAAATTACCAAATCTGAAAAAAATATGATTTATTTTTATTTTAACAAAAAAAATAATTAAATTAAAATACATTAAAGTTTTAAATATCAAAATCTTAATTTAAAAAAACAGTTCTTGCAGCTTCAGCAAGATTTTCTTAGAAAAATTTACATAAAGTACAGTAATCTCTATCGTAGATATATAAATTAAGTTGTGGTATTTTTATTTATATTCTCATAGGAAATATATCTTATTAAATTGAACTATAACTCTCAAACTCTTTGTCTTCAAAAATTATGCTTACTTCAACTGAAGGTATATCTTATGGAGATTAAATAAACAAATCCTAAAAAAAATAATAATATAGGAATAATAAAACAAAAATATTTTTACTTTATTTAAATATTTTTCAGAAGTAAAAGCTTACAAATTCCAAATTTATATTTTTTAAATTTCCACAATTTCTTATTTTTAAAAATTCTAATTTACATTTTAAAACTATTTTTCCGAGAAATTTTATTAATATTAATTTTTAAAATAAATTTTTTATTATTATTTCGAATTTTAGCTTTCTTCTTTAAGACATTCCGCTTCTTAAATTAAGTTCTAAGTTTATTTAGGCTTAAAATTTTCAATATGAATACTATCATTATAATCAACTGAGCAGAAATCATTATTTATTTTTTATAAATTGTTTACACTATCTTCCAAACTCTTAACATCATCAAAATTTTCTATTTCTTAAAAAACTTAAGAATGAACTTCTTAAAAAGTCTAATTCATCAAATTTTCTTCATTTTCAAAAAAATGGAGTCCTTTATCTATCAAGCCATCCTTAGCAAAATCCATACCCCATTTTCCTGTAAACCAATACCCTATTTTGGAAAACTTTAAAAATATTCCATCACTTACACTCAAAGAATTTCTATAGGCTGCAGCCACAGAATTTATTACTGTAATTTCTATTCTAGAATCAGAACTTTATTTCTCCTAATGATGGCTTTATTCTCCCATTCCATCTGCAATATTTATCTATTATTTATAATATAAATCGTATTTCTATTTTATCATAAGTCTACTGTATTATTTTATAAATTAAGAATTTTCTTCTATGCTTTGTTAGTAAAAGCCTCGACTAAAAATTACCTTATATAGACTTATAGTTCCATTATATTTCTTTTTAAAAATACTATCTTACTGTTTTTTAATTTTAAGCCAATATAGGAAGAATAATTATTTAATAAATTAAATTATTCAGAATCAGAAGAAATCATTTCAAAACTAAATTCATTTGTTTCATCTTCTTTATTACCTAAAGTCCTATTTTTGTAATTAAAAAAATAAATAAAATTAAATATACTATGTAAGTAATCCAGATTTCTCACTAACATCAAATAAAGCGATATCTTTAGAAGTAAATTTAGTTTATTTATTATTTTTATATATTATTTTAGAAAAAACAGAATTCTACATATTCAATAAAAACACAGGTTTTAATATTTTTTCTTAGTTTTTATACGGGACATTATGCATCATTATTATACTGAAAGAAGGAATAGATAATTCTAAATTTTAAAAAATTCTTTTATTAATAATTTCATTATCTTAGATTATATTTTCTTTTTATTATTTTTCATCTTAAAAATTTGCTGAAAAACCTTTAATTTACATAAACTCCTTAAAATCTTCTATTCTTTATCGAATATAAATATCAGTAACATCAATAATATTTTTTAAATAAGCTAATTAATTAGGATCTATTGTTAAGATAACTTTTTTTAAGGAAACAGATATTTATTAAGGTAAACTTTTATCCTGATCATTTGGCTAAGCAACATAATATTCTGAATTATAGGAATTAATAGAAATAAAAATATCATGTTTTTAATCAAACTCTAGTCCAATATATTCCTAAAAATTTAAAATGAGGAAGTTTTTCTAAGAATTTTTATCAAAACATTATTAACATTTATGATTTTTTTAAAGCTTTTAATTTAAAATTAGCTACTCTTCTTCAAAGATTTATAGATTTTAAATAATCTTCAATTATTCTTCTTCATCTTCATTTTTTTTAGTTTATTAATTCTATTACTATACTCTACAATCATTTTTTAACTATTCAAAAATATTCTGATGTTAATTGAAATTTTTATCCTTAAAAAACTCTTCCAAATCTTTTTCTAAACTTGCGTTTGATTCATTTAAATTATTAATTTTTTATAAAGATGAATTAATATTTTATATACTCAAAAATTAACTAATATCTTAATTTTTCGGATATTCTTTTTACATAACAATTTAATAATCACTTTAAGCCAAATAATAAGTACAAAAATGTTTCAATTTTCATTAATATCATAATTGCAACAATTTTAATTTTTGATAATCATTTCTCCCACATAAATTTTTTAAGAATTATGAAAATATTTATTTTCGCTTAAATATAGAATATTACCTAAATTAAAGCTCAAAATATTATTTTAATGATAAATAATATCTTCATATTTCTTTATTTTTCCTTAGAACACACCCTAAAATTCACCTAAACTCCATCTAAATTGACCTCAACAATACTAAAATTATGCACTTTTAACATTTCAATAATTTATGGCGTATATATAATATTGGGATCAATTATGTAGTTATTTTCATATACATTAGATGTACTAGTTCCATTGCCCTTATTCTATTATTAATCATCTTATTCATTAACAAATGATTAAAATGTATAACCTTTAATAGCCCACATTTAAATTAAATACATTATTAATTACATTTATTTAATAGACATATTGACTATAAGAAAAGGTAAAGAAATCGTATATTAATAACATTAAGGGGTAATATGCTTAATTAAATTTATTTTTTTATTACTTTCTAATTTATGAATAACTCCAATTTAACTTTTTGTATATTTCGTTTCTATTTTTATTTATATAGGAAGTGTTTCGAGTATAGTTTCCACGTTTTCGATTTATACAATTTTTTTTTAAAAATCATCCCTATTCAATTAGTTTTTTTCTATTTTTTTATAATTATGTAAAAATATATTTTTCTTTTCTTCCCAATCATAGTCTTATACAATTAAAATTTTCATACAATATATATTTATTAATAAAGGCTCTTATAATTTTTCTTCTTATTCATCTTTTTATTTAAATGACTAATTTAAGTTTTCTTAATGTAGTTCTGTATCATGTTCTCGTTTAAAAATTTTTAAATTTTTTATTTAAAATGTTAAAATATCAGATGCTATTTAATAATTTATAGGTAAATAGACATTTATTTTTCCGATTTATACAGAAAGATTTAAAAATGTAGTTTCTATATCTTTTTACATTAAAAATTAATTAAAAAACTGTTCTTATTTATAACAATCGTAATCTATTTGTATATTATTCTCATCTTTTTTTCTTTTTGTTAATACTTTTTCAGGATCGAAAAATAATAATTAACTTAAAACATCTTTTTTTTATAAAAATAAAAAATAAAAATAAATTTATATATATTTACTGCATCTTTCTATAAATGGTTTAGTTAGAGTAAAAATTAAAGTAGGAATATTTACATCTAAAGAATTATGTGTGATTTTTTAAATTGCTTTTACTGATAATGCTGATTTATTTATTTTTATGACTTCAGTTTTAAATATAATTTATATTCCTTCTTTAATTTCCATTATTTAATTATAACATTTATTTAAAGAATGCATATCAGTTATATTTATTTGACCAACATCTATTTATAATTGATTCGTATATAAACTATCTTAGTTAAAAATTAAAAGTAAAGAATTCATTTTTAAATGCAAAAGCAATTTTTTATAATTTTTAAAAGTTTCGAAATTCCAAATCGATGCATCAATGATTTTAGAATTTTCTTGTTTATTTTCTTAATCTTTATCATTTTATTAAAATTATTTAATCCCTTTCTTACTTAGTTCATTAATAAAATTTTTCTTTATATGTGATAAAATCTAAATTATTCCATAAAAAAAAAAAACATAAAATAAAATAAAAAAAACAAAAACAAAAAAATACTTATTATTAAAGTCTTGGTTTATTATAAAGAGTATCTTTAATTAAAGTTGCTTAGTAATGAAGATTTTTAATATCTTATAACATCTAATTTTCCTCAATTAAAATTTAAAAGCTTTTCATTTAGACTTCAACATTATAAGTAAAAAAAGAGTTTTATTCATTTTATTAATCTTTATTTTCTCTTTTTTCACTTTCAAGTGTATTTTCAGTATTTTAAGAATTTCCAATATTTGCTTTATCAAAATTAACATCATTTAAATAATATACATTTAAATTCAATATTTTCGATTTTTAAAAATCTTTATCTATACTATAAAACCATTTTTCAGCATCAACCCTTTCGTCATAATGGGAAGACATTAATTTTAATTTATTATCCACAAGACTATTTATTGACATTTGCCTTAAAATAATTAACTATGACAAAGGAAAATCAATTTCAAATTTATCCAAAAAGTAAGTTTCGTTTTCTTTTAATTTAGAGTTCATTCTTTTTTTTGTATAAAACCTTCTGTATTTAACTGCTCTTAAAAAACCCATTAATCCTTTTTATTTTACTGAATTAGGTAATTACTTTAATGTTATTATTTTATCAACTTTATATAATTATATTTAATTTTTATATAAGAATAATATATATATATATATATATATATATATATATATATATATATATATATATATATATATATTAACTTATATATCTCCACCATTACTCTGTTCCATTAGGCTCACTTTGATCCTAACTTTTTTCTTTTGGTCTTATTTTTGGTCTTTTAGAATTATAAGTAGCTAATTCTTTTAGAGATTTTATCAATAGTCTTACTTAGTTTTGTTTTAAAAAAATAACAGCATCATCTATTGTTACATTTACATCTGCTTTATAATTATTTTAAATATCTATTTTTAATTTTATGTCCACATTAAAGTTTTTTAATATATAATTATCAGTTTTTTCTTATAAAATCTATTCAATTTCTTCATCTTTTTTATAAAACTTTTATGAAAAATATCCATTTTTTTTATCTTTAATATTGAAATAATTATCATTCTTTTAATAAAATTTTATAAGAAAAAAATAAAAATAAATTACTTAAATATATGTATCCAAAAAACTATCATAAAATTCAAAAAAAACACAAAAGTTTCTAATTTAAATTTCTTTAAAAATAGAATCAATATTATTCTGTTTAAAAAGTTAATCTACACTTCCTAAATATAATTAATCAATATTCAATCCTACTTTTACAACTTCAAAATTATTTATCTTATATATTTTTTAAAAATAAATATTATATTATTTAAATAAAAAATACATGATATATATTTATTATTTCTATATTATTTATTTTAAATTATAAATTAGATAATATTCCCTATAATGCATTTTAATAAAAAGAATCTTTTTTTTTCGTTTTTCCATTTTCTTATGTTTTTTTTTTATCTTTTTATTTCTTTTTAATATGTTCTAGTCTTTATTCAAAATATTTATCTAATGAATTTTCAAATTATTATAAAGTATCTAATTTAATTTATAATAATTTTGATTTCATTTCTTCTTTTTCTTCCTATGTTTAGTCTAATTTATTACTAACAATCATTTTAAATCCATTTATTTCTATTTTTATAGGCTTTTAAATATTTTATTTTTTATATTTATATTTTATTTTTTTTATAAACAAAAAATATACTTGCTTTTTTATTGCTTTCCATGGTATCTATATTTTTATTTCTTATATAATTGAATCAACAACTTCAATATTAATTCCATATAAAAGAAATATTTCTTTCTTTAAAATTAAATTTTTTAAAATTAATTCACCTAAATATAATTAATATTGCTTTTAATATAAAATATAGATTTTATATTACCGTTCCAAAACCCGACATCTATTTATTATTCATCAATCTAAACAAAATAAGGTTTTAAGAACTTTTTTTTATATGCTTCAATAAAAATAAAGTTTTATTGTTTTTATTACTTTGCTTATGATTATAGAACCTAACCAATTGGTTGGCATAAATTTAAACATTTAAAATTTAGTTATTTTTAAATAAATTTTACTATGCAGTAGTTTTAATTTGAATTTGTTTTTTTACTTATTAAAGTTATATTAACATATATTTAATAAATTATGTTAATTTACATATTTAATAATTGAAGACTAATAACTAAATAAATTTAAATAAAAATTCTTCTTATATAAATTATATAATTTAAATTATGATTTAAAATATATAATATTTCTATTATAATTTAAATAAAGTTTAATTATATGAAAAATTATCCTTAATTAATTATATGAAAAATTATCCTTAATTAAATTATTTAATTAAAAAAAAATATTAATTAATAAAATTAATTTACACAAAAAAACTATAAAAAGCTTATATAAATAAATAATTGTAATAATGATTCTTTAAATAATTTATTTCATTTTATTTTTAGATTATTTATCAATAATAATCTCATTATTACTTTTTTTTTATAAAATATATATATTTTAAAAAATATAAAAAATATTTAAATTAGATTTTTGTAAAAAAATCAAAAAAAAATATATATGATTGATAGTTTCATTTACCTTACAAATTAAAATAAAGTTTTATTATCCTTATAAAATCCGCGTACACCATTAGATTAAAATGCAATAAAATCCCAACAAGACGAAAAAGAATCAAAGTAAATACTATAAATCCTTGAAGGAGAATATAAATATTCCGAAAGCGAAGAAGAATAATAAAAAAAAGACGAAGCAGCAAAGCAATTACGCATAATAATAAAAAATTGGATATAATAAATAAATGCCGAAAAATAAATCGAAAACAATCACGGAGGTGATTTACTTTTTTTCGGTTCATATAAATTAAAAGTAGGCAAAAAAAAATATAAAATTAAAAAATCAAAAACATATTATAAAATAGGTAAATTCAAGAGGAAGTGATATAGATGCAGTTTGCTTATGTCCATTTTATGTAGAACGAGAAAAAAATTTTTTCGGAGATTTAGTTCATATACTTTCATAAAAGAAGGAAATAACGGAGCTTTTTCCAATCCAGGAAGCTTCGGTTCCAATAATAAAAATGTAATTTTAAGGAATTTTATTCGACTTATCATTTGCAAGAGCCCCTACATAATTTTAAAGTGATAAAATTGATTTAACAAGTAATTAAATGCTTTTAGGGATGGACGAGCGTTCATGTAAATCATTTAATGGTTACAGAGTAGCTGAATGGTTAAGTAAAAAGGAGAATATATAAAACTATGAAAATTTTCAAAGCATATTAAAATGTATAAAATTATGGGCTTAAAATAGGGGAATATATTCGAATATAATAGGTTATTTGAGCGGAATTGGTTGGACAATTTTAGTTTCTAAAATTTGTTAACTTTTTCCAAATTATTCTTTGAATTAATTACTTGAGAGATTTTTTTTTCTTTATTCAAGGTGGAGATGGTAAGATTTTCCAGTTTAAGTGGAATATATAGTAGATGATGTTGCAAACTCGAAACTAAGCGCAGATTAATGGAGACCTGAATATAAGAGCAGTATGATGATTATTACTCCATGTTTTCCATGTATGAATTGCGCTCATAACGTCTCTTCAACCACTTTAAGAATTATATAGGAATAACTATGGCATGGATATGAGACAATATGTAAAATATAGAACGGGAGTAAAAATTATTCCGATTTATTTAAATCGTTTAAGTTTTTTAAAAAATATAAACATTTTTTGGAAATTAAAATACTTGCGACTAATAAAAATGACTACACTGTATGGAAAGGTCATGTGGAGAGCGGACTAAGGAAACTTACGAGGCTTTTTGAATCACCCTAATATATGAATTTATTGGAAGTTCACCCTTATCCAAGCTATATAGAAAATTTTTTGGATGATACTTAAAGTTAGAAAAATAAATACAAATTCTAATGTAAGTATTATTATGGATTGATGTGTTTATAATCAGAAAATAATGAAAGTATTAATTTAAAAGAGGCTTGCGTGTATTTCGTTGAGTAGTTGGAAATGTACCCTATGAATAAAGTGCTAGAAAGTATGAATATTTAGTGTAGTCATTTATTAAGAAGTGAATTAAATTTAAAAGAAAACATGAAATGAAATATTTTAATTTATAAAGATTCTTTTTAATCTTAAATTAATATTTATTGCTTTAATTAATTTTTTGTTACTTATTTATATTGTTTTTTTTATTTATTTTTTTATTTGATTTAAATATTTTTTCTTATTTTTAACAAAAAAACACTTTTTTTAAACTTAATTTATAATTTTAATTAACTTTTTTGATAATAAAAAAAATTATGCTTTTATAAAAGGTTTTTAATAGTGCTTCTGTATATATTAAACTATTTAATACATGTTATTATATAAATTATAAAAATAAATTTAAAAAAATATAAAATTAATATTTTTCAAATAAGTCTATTTTTTATATAATATATTTAAATAAAAATATTAATAATCATTTAATAATTTTTTATATTTAAACTAAATAAGCGGTAAATCTTAATAAGGCGGAAAAAGAAACCAATAAGAAAAATAAATAATAAAAAATAAAATTTTATTACTAATAAAAAATCAAAAAGAAGGTAAAAAAAAATTAACAAAAAAATGGAATAAGAATTTCCTGAATAAACTAATTAATAATTTGATAAAAATGCATATTGGTAATAAAAAAAATTTGAATATATATCCGAATTAAGTTAACTATTAATGATTGGTATTTCCCAATCTCCTCCCCTAACCGAAACTCCTAAATAAATATTTGACCCGAAACTTGAATAACTTGAAAATCTTCTGTAAGTAGAACAAAAAACGCCCGAATAAGAAGAAACCATAAATTCTTTATCAAAAGAAATAATAAAAATAAGCACTTTGTGGTTAATAGAGGGCAAAAATGGCCAAGAAAACGATATAATATAATTAAGTATGTTAATAAGGCAATATATATTATCTAATTTTCCAACAATAAATTATTTCAAGTAAAAAGATATCGATTTTTTCAGAGATATAATTTTACAGTCCGCCGAGAAAAAAAATTATTCGCAAAAATTTACTAAGGACATTCTAAATATAATTCAAACGTATTAAAATAGTGAAAAAATACAAATAGGATAACATGATATATGGGAAGTAAAAGAAATCTAGTATTTAAATAATAATGGAAATATAGAAGAAATCGAATTTATACATAAAAATAGAAGATATCATTAATTGTTATTGAAAAATTTAGACAGATTAATAAAATCAATAGAAAAAGGAAAAAATGAAGACGAAAGTTTTGGTTTATATTCAAGAGCAAAAGCAAATAAACCGAAAATTAAAAATGAAAAATAAAATTAAATTATAAAAGAAGAAAGTGAAAGTTTATCTTAAAATTAAAATAATTTTGAAATTTAAAAAAAGATAAAAGAAAACGAAGAAAAAACAACTTAAAAAAAATAAAAAAAATAAGAAAAAAAAATAGAAGAAAAATAAAAAGAAGAGAATAATAAAAAAGAAGAAATTAACAAAAAGGAAGAAATTAAAAAATAAGAAGAAAGCACATAAAAAAAAACTGAAAATAATAACTAAAAATCTTTATTAAATTTTTTCAATAAAAAAACAACAATAAATAATAATTAATCCCAATAAAAATTAATAAAAGAAGAAGAAAATAAATAAATCGATTTGTTAAGAAAAATAGGCTCTTTATAAAAAAACACTCTCTAATGTCAATCTGCACTTTTAATGAAGGAAAAATTCGAAAAGCAAGAAATTCTTTAAATTGTCAAAAATTCTAGTTTGAAATAATGGAAAGATTTAAAAAATAGTAAAAATAATCAAAAAAAAAGAAAAATATTAGTAACCATACACGATTACATTAAACAATATAAAAACGTCATTTTTAGCTAAACTAGTAAATTTATTAATCCGAAAAACTTCCTTTCAAAAGACGATTAGTTAATAGAATACGATCTAGAAACAGAAGATGAACTATAGGAAATAAACGCTGAAAATATCGATAATGAAGACAAAAGCGAAATAGAAGAGGAAGAACTAGAGGATAGCGATTAATCAGATTAAAAATTCGTCGTTTCTGATGGTTATTTATCACATGAAGGTTTAGATAGTGATAATGAGATAGTGAATTAAAACGATATTAATTTTCTTAAATTTAATTTTTCAGGATAGATGTACATTTTTTAATAAAAAGATTAAACTGAGGATGTCAAAAACTTTTTATAGATTTATTAAATAAAAAAGTATTAAGATCAAGAGGATTTTCCTTTGACTTTATAAAAAATTGTAAATAGAAATAATAATATATAAAATAATGTAAATAATACCGAAAATTTATGGAATAATGAAAAGTTAAAAAGTTTTATTTTTTTATGTGAAGGAAGTTTATTGACAAAGAGAATTTTAATTGAATAAATTTAAAAAAATTCAGTTTTTAAAGATTTCTCGAAATATGCGATTGAAAAGAAACTTAAATAAATCGCATAAAAAGATCTTGTTTAGAAAAAATGGAAAGTTTATTAATAAATTATTGAAAATATGAATTTTGATGAAAACGAACTCTAAATTTTTAAAAATTTATAAATTGAATAGAATAAATAATAAAAATAAGTATAGAAAAATGATGAAAATAATAAAAATAATACAAACAATAATAATAATAATAATAATAATAATAATATTAGTAATAATATTAATATTAATAATAATATTAATAATAATATAAATAATAATATTAATAATAATATTGATATAAATAAAAACTCTAAATAATAAAAATAATTAAAATTATTTGATCTCTTTAAAAAATAATAATTTTGAATAAAAATTAAACTTATATATATGATTCAAATATTATTTAAATATTTAAATATATTACTTTATAGCATGGTTTATTTTTATTTATTTTTTATGATTTTTAAGAACTCAATCGACAAAAAAAAAAAAGGAGAGAAAAAACGGATTAATGCCCTTTTTTTTCTTTAATTGAGTTTTTTTTTAAAAAAAATACAGAAAAAAATAAAAAAAGCAATGCTAATAAAGTAATATATTTATAATAATAAAAAAAAAAAACATAAGAGTATATATATTAATTATCTATATATTTATATTCTTAAAGCATTTTTTTAATAGTATTTTATTTTTATAAAATAATCTTTAATATCAATTCTAATTAAATTAATTTAATAGTAAAAAAAAATCTGAAATACAAATGAATAATTTTTACTCTTTCATTCTTAATTTACTAAGACTTTAATTTATCCATTAAATAATTAATCAAACTTTTTTAAAATAACTTATTTAGGTCTATTAACAGAATAATATTCGCCATCAATTTAAAAGAAAGTGATTAAATCAGATTCGATTTTTTTGAAATTCAACAAGAACGGTCCAAATCCTTAGGCTATTTTTTTAGCATTTCCATTAAATAATCTCTCATATCCTAAATTTAGAGAAGAATCAAATGAAATAAACTCGACTATACCATCCCCGTAACTCTATTCTTTAAATTAAGTTTAATTTATTTAACTTTTATCTAATTATTAGACTCCTATTTTATTTCTTCCACTTTTCCATATATTGCTAACCCCTCCAGCATAAGAGTCTATATTTAAAATTAGTAAACAGGCTGGGTCGCACTTTAAATAATAATTAGACTATTCCTACTCTTCATTTTTCAATAATTATTTTTCTAATCCTTATTCTTAATAACTGTCTTTTTTTTATGTATAAACAGTATATTACCTGCTTAACTATTTTTTAATTTATTAAGATTCTTTACTAAAAAATAATATATTTATTTAACAAAAATAAATATATATTAATTACATTTATTCACTTTCATTTAAAATTTCTAAAGATTCCAAAACTTAATTAATCCTATTTGTTTTTATAAATAATTTCTTAAAGGCTTCACAACAATAAATAGCTTTATTTATAAAAGCGGATTAAGTCCTATTTTTATCAAATCCAAAACCTATTCTTGCATCTATTCCTATACTAAAATAATTAGACATCGGTTTTTTTATTGATTTTATTATTTATCCGTTTTTATCTAACATCTTTATTTTTGTTGCTTTTTCATTCACATATTCGATTTTTTCGAAATATCCATTCTTCAAAAAATAAAAACATATATAAAATTTATTTAATCAAAAATTAGAAAATACATCTTATGTTTAAAATTCAACTTCCCATATATCAAATAAACTTATTTTTGATGAGATCCATTTTTTTATTAATCTTTTCAATCCATTTAAATTTTCTCCTATAAAATTATTTGAAATATTACCTCCCCATCCTATTATATAATAGATAATACATTTATGTTTATTCTAATTAATATAAAATACCTAAAACACGTGCGAAATCATTTCCTGTCCCAAAAGGAACAATTCCAATAGGAAATTAATTTGTATCACATTAATATTATAACATTTCTAATAAAACCCACATAACAGTACCATCTCCTCCGCATACAATAACTCTTGTTTTTTCTTTTTCTATTTTTATTTATTTTAAATATAAAAAATTATATTTGTATATATATATATTATTTTAGTTTTATTTTTTTTACATTTATTTTCTAAAGATTTTAATATTTTGAAACCAGTTTCTTTATTTTGAGCATTTTTTAAATTAAAGAAATAAGTATTCACTTCAATGTTTTACTCATTTTTTAAAATTTGGAATTTTATTTTTTCAGCCTTTTTATTTTTTAAAAAATAAAAAAAAAGTTATTAAATAATAGATTATATTATAAAAAATACATCTAATTTTAAAAAATCCGATGCTTGATTTCCTCCGCTTGTTGGATTTACAAATAATAAGAAATTATATATTTCATTATTATCTACTTTTATATTTTTAAAATACTTTAAAAAGTTATAATATATTTACACAAAATACTACCTTTATTTATGGAAGAAATATTTCCGTCAAGATTATTTTCTTAATTTAGATTCGTCTTAATTTATTGATATACTATATTTAAAATAATTTTTATTTATATATTTAAATAAAAATGGTTATATTTATTAAATTTACTTTATTCATCTTATTATTAATTCATTTATTGAATATGTTAATTTTTTTTGTTTAAATTTATTTATTTTTATTTGCTTTTTATTTTGTGGGTAGATTCATTCAATTTTATAATTAAGAAAATATTCAAAAAAAAAAAAAATCAATAATATTAGAAATATAGTAAGAAAAAAAAAATCGCAAATATATAAATACTTAAAAATTTTTTTTTTTAATGTTTGAAAATAAAAATTGATAGACAATTGAAAAAAAAAAAGGATGATTATTAATAATTATTTTCTTAAAATATATATATATATATATATATATATATATATATCTTAATTAAATATTTAATTGAATGTATTTTATATTTATAAAATAAAATCATGTTTATAAATATATTTTTCTTTTATAAGATATTTTTTATTTATATTTCTAATATTTTGTATTAAAGTAAAATTTATTCTAATTTTTATTTATTAAATATAATATATATTTTATACTTTTAATTATCTTTAAATAATTTATATCAAAATTGAAATAGATATTATTAAATTATAATATATAATCAATTTATTGAAAAAAAATAATATATAAATATATTGAATTAAACAAAAAAATATAATCCAAAATAATAATATTTATAGTGTATTATAATTTATTTATTTATTTTTAAAAAAAGATAAAAGTAATCATTAATAGAAAATAAAATAAAAAAAATTTAGATATAAAAATATAAAATATCTTCTTATTTTTAAAAAAATAAAAATAATAAAATTAAAAATAAAATATAATTAAATAAAAGAAGGAAAAAATAAAATAAAAAATGTCTGAATAATAATAAAACTAAAGATAATAGCACAATTCCTCCACAATTAACGTAAGCAGAACTACAACTTCAAGAACAATTTAAACCAGAATTAAAGGTGCTTTAAATCACCATGAAAAGGTAACAGTAAGTGGAATCGGTAGTGCTGTTGAAAACGTTGTCTAATCAGTTGCTGAATTGTAATAAAAAAAATTAGTTGTTATTGCTAAAACAACTACTAATTTAGCTAACTAGCAATCTCAAAGATAATCACATTAATTGTTGGTCGAATTAACTAGAGGAGAAGAATTTAAGTTAGGTGGCAATTAATAATAAGAACAAAATTGAAAACCAAATATTTTATGATTTAAATCCTTTTCTTTAATTTTTTTTTTTAAATATATAAAGTTGAAAGGTAAGAAAAATATATAAATTATTTGAAAATAAAAGAAATTTTTTGTAAATTTATTGTCGTTTTCAATTAATTATATATATGTCATGTTTTTTTTGTATTTTTTTTTTTATTCATTAAATGGTTAATATTTTTTTTTTTAACATTTTTATATTTTATATATAACTTATATACAAAAAAAATACAAATATGTGTATTTTTAAAATTTTTTAAATATATTTGTTAAAAAAATAAATTTAATAAGCTAACCTTATATATATATATAAACATAATTATAAATAAGTTTTTTTGGTTATGTTTCAATAAATTTATATTTTTTTGTTTCCTCATTATTCTTAAATTAATTATATTTTATTTATATGATTATTTTATTATATATAATCATATTCCAAATCATTTATTTTTTAATTTTCATCATTTTATTATAAATATTTACATTAAGGAGATTCTTTACAAATTAACTATTAATCAGTATTTTTTTTCTCATTTAAATCTTCATCAAAATTATAAGATTCATTTTTTTCCAAATCATCTTTTTAATTAGAATTCAAATCTATAGTTTCTTAGTTTTATTAAATCAACGATTTCCTTTTTTTTGATTGACTTAAATTATTTAAATCTATTTAAAATAATTCCTATTAATTTAGAGAGTTGTTTATTATTTAATTATCTACTTCAATTTATTCTTATTGATAGCATGGTTTTTTTTTATAATATTTTAAAGCTTTTCTGTTTTTTTAAATTTATAAAATCTACATAAATATAAAATATAATTCTTTTAAAATTATTTTAAGATTCTATTTTAATTTAATATGGTCCTAATCTTTTAATTAGTTCTTCTATTACTTAGTTTTGTATTTTTAAAGGTAACATTTCTTAAGAACTATCATTAATTTATTATCCTTATGATTATAAATCAAACTTTAAACTAGGATAAATTGATTTTTTTAAACATTCTTTTATTATTTTAAAAAATAGAATATATTTATAGTTATAATATTAAAATATTACTTTTTGTTTTATCCAAACTAATTTATAATTTAATAGTTCCTGAATTAATTTAACTTAATAATATAGAAAGAGTTGAAATTAAAATTTGCTTTAGCCTTCTTTAATCCGAAAAAACTTTATCTTATCTTCGTATATTATTTTAATATATAAACTTAATACCTTTAAAATTACTTTATGCAGTAAACATGCCTTAATAAATATATATATATAAATATAATTAAATAAATATGTATATTATATATATATATTATATATATATATATTTATATATTTATTTATATTTATATATATTTTAAAAATTAATAAATATACTTATTATATCCCAAATAGTTTATTTAAAAGAAAATTATTCCATTTTCATTTCAATTTTTTTATTTTAATTAATAGCAAAAAAATCAAACAAATTATAAATATAATTAATAAGCAAATAAGAATTAAACTTAACATTTTCCAATTAATAATCTTGTTTCTCGTTTAAATTTTCATTATCAAACTCATTAATATCCTAAATTACAGGCACTAATTTAGTCCTAAATTCATTTAAAGTTTACAAAAATAGATTTTCCTATGTTCTCTTTTATTACTAATATGATTTTATATTTTAAATATAGCTCACATCTTCAATAGATATAACTATTGCTTATTCATTGAAAAGGAAATTACAAATTTTAATATTAAATATTTTAGAATAATTATCACCTTCATTATCCTAATAAAAATATCCAATTAAACTTTCTGGTTATTAAGAAACTAAACAATAATTAGATATATTTTTCAATCTGCTTTTTAATTTATGTTTAAAAGTTTTTAACATATTCGTTTTAGATTAATCCGTATTTTATTTTTTAAATTTAGAAATTTTCTTCGAATTTTGATTATTGTTAAAATCTATACAACGTTAAATAAGAAAATCTTTAAAAGTTTCAATCTATCTTCCTTAAGTTTATTTGCTATTATTGCTCTCATTAGGATTGACTTTTAGTTTTATTTAATTGAAAAACTTTCTCATTGTTTCATTATCTTTTACACTTTAATTTATTTTTGTACTTTCTAATATAATTTTATTTTATTTTAATTTATTTTTTAAAAAATACTGCTTGAACTTAAATATTCAATATTGTATGCTCTTTAATCCCATTTAATAATAATAAGTTTATCATTACACATTTTATTTATTATATTTAACCATTCACTATTACTATTATTATTAAGGAATAAAATTCTTTATTATCTTTCACGAATATATCTTAAAAAAAAAAAATACATTTAAAAACAATATTTTTTTTTTAAAAAAAAAACCTATTAAAAATCAAAAATAAAGAGAACATAATAAAAAGCGTGTAAGTAAAATGCTCAAAATTTTAAAAATAATCTTAATATATAAAGAGAGGAAGTAATCTATTTAAAATAATACTTAAAATATCCAAAAGGAAATTAGGAGAATCTATGGAAAGTGCTTTTATAATACAAATAGTCTCTTAAATAATTATTTATGAATAATTATTTTATGACAGTTTTTCGTTAGAAACTTATCCATAACTTATTCCTATCCAAGCCAACTATAATAATATATTCCATAAAAAATGGTTTATCTAAAAACATATCTTTAAATAGAAAGTTAACCATATTAAAATGGTAGAAAAAATACAAAAACTAAATACAAAAAGCCATTAAAGTGTTATTTAATTTTCTAATTAAATTAAATATATTAATATTGCGAAAAATATGCTTATAAATAAATTAAATGCGTAAGATAGTTACATTTGAGTATGTCGATAAATTTAATATTTTGTTTCTAAATCGTTTGATTTAAATCGTAGAAAAAATAAATTTATATGTTTTTTATTGATTTAATCCATTTTAATATTATTTTATTTTGCTTAAATATAAAAATATAAAATAACTATTAATAAATAATAATTTGAAATAATAATATTTATTTTATATTTATTATTATTTAATAAAAATATAGAGTAATATGAATTATTTTATATTAATTAAATAACAAAAATTATAATTATTATTTATTTATGTCTTTGTTTATTTTAATAATAATAAAGAATATTAAAATAAATTTATAAACAAGAAATTATTAAAGAATAAAAAGCGGTTTGTATAATTAATTGAAAAAATTGTTTAGATAGAATGAATTCATCTATATAATAAGAATCTGATTTATATTATTAGAAAGTGAAATGCTTGCAGGTAAAAGAAGGTCTTCTTCAAAAAGAATAAATTTCCAGTTTTGTAAAACAATTGAAGTAGTTTTAGATTGAAAAAAGACTAAATATTTCGAAATTATATTCTGGGGGAAATATTCTACAACTAAAAATGCATCTAAAGAAATTAAATTTTAAATAAGTTTAAGTAATTAGATATTGCATTCAATAAATTATTTATAAAAATAAATTATAATTTAAATATATAATCTATAAATAATTTTTTATTTTTATTGTTGTTTTGAGACCTTATTTGAGTAAATTTTTTGATAATTTTAATAAATATAATTAATTCTTCTAAAAAAATAAAAATACATAATATTTATTACGAGGTTAAATTTTTTTTTTTTTAATATTTATAAAAAAAAAAAATTGAATTCTTTCTAATAATTTATATAATAAAAATAGCAATAAAGAATTCAAAAAATAAAAATAATTATAATAAAAAGTATATATAAACTAAATATAATGATGAAACAAGGAAACTAAGAGAAAAAGAGAAAACAAAATTAAAACGAAACAGAAATATAAGAATATGAAACAATAAATAAAAAATAATTTTTAAAAAATAACGAAGAATCAGAAATTGATGAATATAAAGAATAATAAAATCTACTTTTATTAGAAATAGAAGAAAATAAAAAATAAAACAATAATCTTGTTGATTTAGGTGATATCATTTTGTTCGATGACGAGCAAGATTAAGAAAAAATAAAAAAAACATTCAAAAAGATAATAACCCTAAGGAAGTATTAGACGAAAAAAAACTTGCCCCATGGATATCTGATTAAACTTTATTAATTAAAAATCCCCTATACAGATTGCATAATGAAATTATTGAATTAACCGAATACCTAGCTCCTACAAAAGAAGAACATGAGTTAAGAATAAAATCATTTGAAAAGTAAAATATATTTATTTTTAAAATTCATATAAATTATAGTTTAACTTAAATAATTAAATCCGTAATACCAGATTGTGAAGTAAAAACTTTCGGTTCATTTAGTTCAAAGTTATATTTACCAAACTCGGATATTGATATAGTAATTTTTATAAAATAAACCAAAAACAAAAAATATTTAAAAAAAGGTTATAGTAAAAGAAGGAGAATCAAATAAATATTTATATAAAAAAGTTGCTGATGTAGTCTTAACATGTGAAGATATTTATGAAAACATAAGTTTCATAACAAATGCGAAGGTTCCTTTAATTAAGTTTGTTGAAAAGTCAACTTAAACAAATTTTGATATTTCTTTTAATAAAGAAGATGGAGTAAAATAATTACCTGAAGTATAAAAATGCTTATAAATATATCCAGAGATTAAATATTTGATTTTTATTATGAAATGTATATTAAGATAAAGGGATTTAAATGAAACATATACTGGTGGAATCGGCTCTTTTTTGCTTTTTTGTATGATTTTAGCTTTTTTAAGAGAATTAAGAAAAGAATATAAAGATAATAATAAAGTCAGTGAAATAAAAAATATTACTCTAGGCGAATATTTATTAAAAATGTTTAAGTTTTACAGCAACTTTGATGTTGAGAGAAAAAAAATTATTATGACAAATTAAGGTAAAAATAAATATATAAATTTTTAGAAACTTTTATATATTTTTTTTTTTTAAAAAAAAGGTGGAATATATGACAAAGATAATAGAGATCGAAAATTTAGTTTAATAAGTCCTTAAGATTAATCACATGACATAGGAAGCTCTTCTTTTAAAATTAAGGAATCCGTATTTCCTTTATTTAAGAATAGATTCTAGTTCTTTACTAATTATAATTTCAAAGCGTAGGAAAGCGTATTAAAATATTTAGTTAATCCGTCTGGAAATACTTTTACATTTTAAAAAGATAATAGTTGAAATATGCTTAAACATTGGAAAAAAATAAAAGATATTTTAAGTAAGTGTTTTATTATATGGTAAAATTTAAATATAAATTAATTTTAGTGAATTTTTTTTCTTTTCTTTTCTTAAAAAAAAAATAACTTTATTTTAAATAAATATTTATAATAAATTTTAATAAAAATTCTATAATAATATTTACATTTTCTTAGAATTCAAATTTATAGTTTATATATGGCAATTTATTTTTGGATATTTTTATTAATTTATTTTATATAATCCAAATAAAAAAATTAATTTCAAAATATTTATAAATTTGATAAAGCATCTTATTTTATCTAAAAATTAAAAATTAAAAATTAAAAATTCTAATTTTTAATTACTTAAATCTAATTATATAGATCATTTAATAATTTCTTACTTTCAATCGCATTTAAATTATATTCTTCTTATAAAGCCTCAACCCTTTAAAATAATAATTAAAAAATTAAATATATATAAATTACTTAGAAACCAAGTCAAATAATTTACTTTCAAGTTAAAATAATTCACCTTATGCATCAAAATAGTTTTCATTTAATTCGTTATTTTATTTTTAATTAACAATATCAATAATTTTCTTATTAATATTTTATAATTTTAAAACTTCATTTTTTCCTCTATCAATTTCAGAATTCCCATTCCCAAATACTCTACTTCTCAATGTATTTTGTAAAGTTTCACACTCTTTCTATAATTATTCATATTCTATTTTATTTTTTTGATAAGATTCATCGTTTTTCATCCCTTCTTCCATTGCACTTTCGAGTTTCAAAATAATTTGTTCTTATTTTTAAATTTCTTTAAAATGCTAATTTTTCTAGCTTAAAATTTCCTAATATTTGGTCAATAATTCAGCGTTTTTTAATCTTTAATTTTATAAAAAATTCAGCTATACCTGATTATGTTTTGCCTAAATAATTTAATTATAAATTTCTTTTATTTTCTCATCAAATTTTTCATTTCTTAAAGCTTCTTCTCTGTATTTAGTTGACACTTTTATTAAATTATCAACTAATTATTTTTCTGACATGTTTCTTATTTCTTATGTAACTTTAGTTTATTATTCTATTCTTTTTTCAGAATTAATTCTCTTTTATAATAGATTATTCTCGTTTTTTAAAAGCTTTATGCTTTTTCTTAAATCAGTTATTTCTTCACCATTTTATTTTAAAGAAATATTCTTATCATTAAATTACTTTTTCATTCTGTGAATTAATTCAACTTTTTAAGATAATTCTCTTGATAATAAAAGCCATTTTTCGCTTTCGTCTGAAGGTCTAAATTCATCTCCTATAGTAGAATTTTATAAATCACTTAAATCTTTTATTTATTATTAAGGTGATTATAAATTTGATAATTCTCCATTATATTCATATTTATTATTACTATAAGAATGCTTTTTTTAAAAAGAACTATTTTAATTAATTTAAGAATTCATCAATTAAGGCGTTTAAGGATTTTATTAAGGCGTTTAATGATTCTATTAAGGTGTTTAAGGATTCTATTAAGGAGTTTGAGGCATATGGTTTTATATTTAACTATTTTCTTATTCTTATTCTTCTTCCTTTTATTTTTATAAATCTTTTTCTAATTATTCTTCCTCTTATTTTTATAAAGCTTTTTCTAATTCTTCTTTTTTTTCAAGAATATGTTTTTGGATTTTCTTATTGCTTACACTTAATTCTATTTCACATTAAAATTTAAAAAATTCATTAAATTATTTTGATTACTTTTTTTTACATTAAAACATTTATTATTTATAAAAAAAATTACTTTCATCCATTAAATTTAAGTTTTTTGTCTGACAATTTCTTCTTATTAATTTAAATTATTTAACAAATCATCTAATTCTATACTATTTCCTATAATACTATTAGGCAACTCATTATTTTTTTTAAATTTCTCATCAAAATATACCAAAAAAGCCTTTATTTTTTTACCTAAGACACTCATAGGAATCGTAAAAACACCAATACCCCCATAAAAAACATCGTTAATACTACATTAAGGGAAAAAATTTAATGTAGTCATATTAATTATCTATTATTCATTTGAATTTTTTTCTAAAAAAGTTCCTATTTTACTTTACTATTGAATTTCTAATTAATTATAAAATGGTCCATTTATTGAAGGATTAAAATTGGGATAAGTTAACATTATTTGTATTTCTTTATTATTTTAATTAAAAGAAGGATCCATTTGAATATTATTTATTATAATATCGAATGATTCTTCTGTTTATTATTCTAAATTAATTGAAATTATATATGAAGGTTTAGGTTTATAATTTTTGTTTGTGCTTTAAAATTCCTTTTATTTTTGTTAAAAAAAAATATTATTACGGTAAAAAAAAAATATACTATGTTTAGGGGAATAAAGTGTTTCAAAGATTTTAAAGGAACAAAAAATTCATCAATTAAATTCATTTTTTTTTCATCTGAAATTTAGAAAGCTAAAAATCCTTCCTTTTAATTTATTTATTGATTTTAATTGTATTTATAAAAAGGGTTGTTAATTAAAAACTAACAATTGATTTTCGGATTTTTCTAATTTTTAAATGTTTATATTTGATAGACTTCCTAAAAATCAAACTATTCGTTTTTTTATTCACCACTTTAACTCCAAAAACATTCTTTTTTTTATATTAAGAATATATATTAATTTAAAAATAAAATTACCAATCAAATGATTTTATTATTCTTATAAATTTAAAAATTACCTAATATCAACTCTTGCTCTCCAGTAATAATCAGAATTTAAATTATTATCAGGTAAATATTTAATTAATTGATCATTATTTTATATTTAAAGTTCTTTTTTCTAATTATAAAATAATATATATATATATATATATATATTATATCTATATATATCTCTATATATATTTATATTATTTTTTATAATTTAATTACTCTTAATTACATATACATATTATATTTTTAAAAACTTTCACTACTATCTTTTTTAATAAAATCTATCATGACTTTAAAATATCCATATGTATTCAAATTTAATAAAGATTAACTTGCAGAAGAAATATCAAAGCTAATTTCGCTTACTTTTTCATCTTTATTCCATATAGAAATCTTAATTTTTTTTTAATTTATATTATTTATTTTAAATACTTATAATGTTTCATTTATTTTTTTATCTTTAATTTTATTTAATTCAAATTATGCTTATTCAAATCTATTATTTATTTCATTATATAAAAGCTTCTAATGATTTTTATCATTTAAATGAGTTAATATTTGTATTTCATCCTATTTAATCTTGTTATATATTGGCTAATAATATAAATTCAATAAATAGCTCATTTGATAATTATTATGTATGTATATTTTTATTTATTATAACCTTATATTAAAAAAAAAAATTTAAAATTATAATGATATTTTATAAACATAAAAAATATTCGAAAATTTTGATAAACAAACTATTCTTAAAAATAAACAAATCAATTCAATATTTGTAAAAAAATTAAATAAGTATTTTATATATATTTTTAATATATATATCATAAAAAACTACTTAAAAGTATTTAAATTTAATCTGAATTAATAATTCCATTATCTTATAAAGTAAATAAATGAATAACAAATTAACGATATAACTAATACAATTCAGCTTTATTTAATTCTATAAACTCTTTAACAAAACTAAATAGGTCACATTTTTTTATAGGCTATTTATTTTTAATTTATCTCATTTCAATATTTATAAAAAATTTATTCCACAACAACATAAATATCTTGTCTTATTCTGACATATCATATATATCAATTATATCTTTTTATTAATATTTATTAACATAGTCAGCCTCAAAAACTTCATCGTCTGAGTTTTCAAATAACATATCATGAGTTTTTCGTGTAAAAATATTGGCTTAATTAAATATTATTTTATCATTAAAACAGCATTTTATGTCATCATTTGTATATACTAAATATTTACTTAATAAAGGATTTTTTTAATTTCTCTTTTATTTTTGATTTTTAATTTAGTTTACAATTATTTTTTACTGTTAACTGCTATTTTTATAAATTTTATTTTTTAAAAAAACTAATAATAATACATTTAGGTTTCATCATTTCTGCTTAAAGAATCTTTTTTATTTTTTTAATTTTAGTTTATTATTTTTTCAGTATCTTTTTCTTTTTTAAGAAGTCTTTTTTTATAAAATATAAATGAAAAAAGAAAATATATATATAAAAAACCTAAATTATTATTATATAACAATTAAATAAAAAATACAATTATACTGTGTTTGAAGAACTGTCGGTGTAAGATTAATTTTTGCTTTATCTCATGAAGTTTTAATGTAATTATATATTTTCTGAATATAAATTAAATGTATTAAAATATTTTTTTATCTATAATGATTGATTTATATAAAATAGATATTTAAATTAAATTAATTGACGAAATTATTAAATAAATTTATATTTATTTTATTAAAAAATGAATTACCTTTTAATATCATTAAAAATTAAATAAAAAATTAATTTAATAAATATCTAAATATTTAATATAAATAAAACATATTAAATAATATTTATTTAATAAAAATCAAATATTAATTAATAGTAAATATAAATATATTATTTGTTTATATTATTTATGTGTTTTGTTTGTTTGTTTTAAATTAAATAAATATAAAAATATGTCTGAGAAAATTAGATATGGACTTTATTTTTTTAAAAATATTTTATAAAAATATTACAGAAGGAATAATAAAAAAAGTAAGAAAATATGTATTTTATTAACAAAATAATATGTTAATTTAAAAATATATATTTTTTTTAATATATATTTTAATGGAATTTAAAATAAAAATAGATACATTTTTTTTTTAAAAAAAAAAAATTCATACGAAATAACTTTAAACATAAAAATAGTTCAATCTTTTATTTTAGAATTAACTTTCATATTTATAATAAGAATTATTAACAAATAATAATTATTTTATAAACATATAAATATAAAAAAAATGAATATAATAAATTAGTTAAATATACCAATTCTTATAATTTATTTTTATATTCTATATTAATTTAAATTTTATAATTCATAAAATATAATATATAAAAATAAAAAACATATAATTATATTGATATATTTTATGAATATAAATAAATAAAAAACTTTTTTAATCTTATAACAATTGTGAAAAAGACTATATTATTTATTATATATTATTTTAATAAATATTTTTAAAATATATATAAAATTAAATTTTTTATAATGGAAATCGTCAAATTACATGTACCAGATAGGGTTTGTATTTACGAATTACCTCCTTTATCAACTTCAAAAGGATAGTATATTAATATATGCATTTTTTTAATCTATTTTAAAATACATTTTTATTTTTATTTTAAAATAGTTATTTAGATTAATGGAAAAAAATGATATGGGAAGGAGGATTAAAAATTTTTGAAGGAACCGATAAATTACTTGTAAAATTTATAAGTCCAAACGGTGCAGTATTTGCTTAATTAGAAGTTAAAAATAATAAAAAAATATTAGATTTAATTAAAATAATGCAAAATCATATTTTTTATATAACTTTTTTTCTTAAAAAAAAGGTACCAGAAAAATACGAAGAAGCCATTTAAAAAACAGAAGATAGTTCAAGAGGATATGGAGTGAGATTAAATAATCCAAAAGGAGGATATATATGGATAGGTATTTTTAAATAGATATGATAATAAAAACAAAATTTATATAATATTTATCTTTAAATAAAAAAAATAATATATTATTAATTTAAAGGATTAGCTTTTAGAGATAGAAATTCTTCTTTTGATTTTAAATCGAGAATTATTGATTTCTTAGATAGAAAATAAGAGTAAAAACAAAATACAGTGGAATTCGAGTAACCCTAAGATTTTAAACTTAAATAAGGTGAAAAAATATCATTTAAAGTGGGAGGAGGAAATTAATAAAATTAAAATTAAAATAATAATTATAATTTTTCTAATAATTTTGATGATTTTAATAACTTTAATAATTTTGGGTAATAAAAACAATAATAAAAAAATGATAATTAATTTGTAGAATTTGGAGGGTTTGATAATTTTAGCGGATTTGATAACTAAAATAACAAAAATAACAATATTAATTGGAACTTTAATAACTAATAAAACATTTAATAAAAAAATATATAAAAAAATCAAAATTAAGATTTATTAGATTTTTGAAAATAAAAAATAATTATGTAATATTTTATTTGTATTAGATATATTATAAATTAATTATAGAAAAAATATTTATATTAAAAATAAATAAAAATATAAATAAATATATTAATATATATAACTATAAAAAAATATTTTCTTATAATATATATATATATATATATATATATTTATATATTTTTTTTTTTATTTTTATTTATAAATATTTTTTTTTAATATATTATTATTTATATAATTTATTATTAAAAATATATATATATATTTTAAAAAAATTTATTATTTTAATACTTTTTTTATATTTTTTATTTTTATTTTATCTTATAATTATTTAAAAACTTTATAACTTTTTAAAACAAATAATTTATTATCTTTTCATTTTATCTTTTTATATTTTTTTTTTAATATCATTCTAGTTTTTATAGAAAATTTAAAAAATATCACAATAGTAAATAATTAATTTTTTTATTCAATGGATTTTTTTACATCAAATATAAATAAAATTTGAATTTTTATTTTAAGAAAAATAATTAATAAAATTAATAGATTAATAAAAAATTAAAAAAAGTAAATTTTACTAAATTAAATTTTATTATAAATACTATTTTATCAATTATGACCGACCAATAATTTTTGATATAATATGCTATAAATAATATATAAAAAAAAAATTATAAAAATAAAAAATAAAAAAAAAATTAATAATAAAATATTATTAAAATATAAAAGTATTTATGAATTAATCGTTTTCTTAAAGAAGATTTAGAAGATCCCGATCTTGTAAAAACTTAGGATTCAATGAAAACAACAACTGGAATTAAAGTTATAACAACTGTAATTCCTCTAATTGGAACAACAATCATTGGAATAATAACAATTATAACGAAAACTGGATGAATGACTGGTACAATTGGGAATGGAATAACTGTTCTTAATGCGATGGTCATATTTGCTAATGGCGAAACTTTGATTGGTAAAACTTTGACTGGAGAAACTACGATTGGAAATTTTGTAATTGGTAAAACCAATACTGGAATATAAATGGTTGGAATATCTGTGAATAACATAAATAAAACTGGTAACAAAACTGGAATTTCTGGTGTAATCATCCTGGATGGTCTAATAGATGGTAGCATAATAATTAATATAATATTAATATGTGTAATAATAATAACGACTGGTTTAGCTGGAAATGGAATATATGTGATAGTTGTGATGGATAAAATTGCCAATGGAGAGATTTTGACTGGAGAAACTTTCCTTGGAATAGTTTCGATTGGTAAAATAACTGTATGTGGTAAAATTCTTACTGGAATATAAATGGATGGAGAGTTTGTGATTGGCATAAAAATTCTTGGTAGAATAATTGGAATAATTGGTGTAGTTAACCTTTTTGGAATAATAGATGGAATTAATAATAATAATGGAATAATAACTTCGGAAACAACTGGTATAATAATAACTATGGAAACAATTGGAATAATTATAATAATAATAGTATAAATTAATATTATTAATAATATTAAAATGACTGGTATAATTGGAAATGGAATTCTTGCGAAAATTGTAATGGCTAAAACTGTTAATGGAGATTTTTTGATTGGATAAATTTCGACTGGAGAAACTATGACTGGTAAAGCAGTATTTATATAAACAATTTCTGGAATATAAACGGATCACATATATGTGATTGGCATAAGAATTCTTGGTAAAATAACTGGAATTATTGGTGTAATCACCCTGCTTGGAGTAATAGATGGTAAAACGGTAATATATGCAACAATAATGATTGGTTCAATTGGAAATAGAATATATGTTGTGATAACTGTGATGGGTCTTTCTGTTAATGGAGAAGCTTCGACTGGAGAAACTTCAACTGGTAAAACTTTGACTGGAATAATTCAAGCTTTTGGAACAATTAATGGTGGAATATTAACGGTTGGCGTATATGTGATTTACATAAGAAAAACTGGCAATAAAACTGTAACCATTGGTGTAGTCATCCTTAATGGAATAATAATAGATATAACCAAAATTATTTATAAAGTTATTAAAAAAACTGGCAAAATCCAAACACAATGAGGGAAGAATTCACTGAATAGCATCCCATTTAAAAAAATTATGTTGAATTCTCACATGAATTAGGACGCCCTATATAAAAAAATTATAGAGATTTTGTAGAAGTTAAACACGTAACTGACTATTAACCAGTTTAACATAATTAACATTTAGACTTTTAACCTTAAAATTAATTCTCTTATTTCTCAAGAAGCCCATAAGATGTTTAGTAAAATTATGCTTAAAATAGATTAAAATAAAGACATTTTAGTCAATAATGGAGAAGAAATAATTATTATTGAAATAATATTATTAAAATTATTATTATTATTATTATTATTATTATTATTATTATTATTATTATTATTATTATTATTATTATTATTTTTAGATTATATTTAATATTTTTACTAATACTACTTTTACAATATTTAACATTTAGGAATTTAATTATTATTATTATTTATTTTATTTTATATTTTTTAATTTTTTTTATATTAATTAAATTATTAAAAAACGTGCATAATATATATGGGACAATCTTTAATAAGAGATTTAGGTTTATAATTAACTGAAGAAGAATAAGAAAAACATTAAATAATAAAAAATTTTATTGAATAAAAAATGAAAAGAAAATAAAGAAAATCTAATAACAATACTTCAGATTTTGAAATATATATTAATGATGTCAATGACGAATCAATTGAAGACTTTTCAATTGAAGAAATCAGTTAATCAAAAAACTAGGATAAATCTTAATTTTCAATCTAAAAATCTTAATAATCAAGTATTATTAAAGATTAAAATATCTTCCAATAAGAATAAAATGACGATGATTAAGATGGATAAGGACTTGTTCAAATTTTAGGCTCATAATTAAATATTCCGGAAGTATAATAAAACAAAAGACCTTTCCGATCTATGAATATGGAAACATTATTTAAAAAACCTGATTATGACGATTAAAACTAGAAAATATTTGAAAATGATGAAGATGATAATATTTTGAATTCTCTTTAAAATTCTGATATAAATGAACCTGAAAATAATAATCGATAAATAGCTTTTTCTGTTTAATATAATAAAGAATTTTAACTAAATTTACCTTCTTAATCTTCTTAGCATAGCGATTTAGGGACTATTTTTTCAGAAGATAGTAGTAGTGTTTAAGAAGTGATTGGTTATGATCCTAACGAGATTAATTTCTAGAAATAAATCGAGAGTAATAAAAAATCTTAGAATAAAAGTTAACATAATAGATAAAGTGTAGATAAAAGAAATAGCACAGCTGCTAAAAATATTTAAAGTATAAAATAAGGAATGTAAAAAAGCGAGAATGTATAAGAATTAGAAAACGATCCCGAGTTTTAAAATTATATTTCCAAACATTATCCATAATAATAAAATAAATTATCTGAATGAAAAAAAAGAGCATAAATATTTATATTTTTATATATTATAATTTGTTTATATTTATTTATATATATACAATTATATGTATTTATATGTTATAAATGTTGTTGTTGTTTTTTTTTACAATATATATAATTTATTTCATTTCAGTTTAGATATTACATAATTTTAGATAGATTATTATTATTATACGTCTTTATTTAATCTTATTTATCATCTATAATTATTTAGTTATAAGTCTTATCTATTAATAATATATTTTCATACCATTTTTCAGTAGAAAATTTTATACTTAATAACTTTTTTTATTATTAATAAAAAGTAAAACATAATTCAATATAATCATTAGATGAATCAATTAAAAAATCTTGAATTTTAATAATATAATGCAATTTTTTTAATTATTTATTTAATTATTACATATCATTAATTTAATTACTTACATAATTCAAAATCGAGGTAATATTTTCTTTTTAAAAAGTTTAATTTTAGAATTTTTTATTTAATAAGTTTTCCTACAATAAGGCTATTTAACTTTAACTTAAAGCAAATTTGTTTTCTTTTTAATTTTTTTATAAAAGACTTTTCTATAATTAATGACTTTATTAGTATTTAGAAAAAATATTTCCCTTTATAAACTTAAAAGAGTTTTATTATATTTAATATTATATTTATAGAATATACGAATTTATAATTTCAAACTCAAAAAAATTATTATTATTTTAAATATTGTAAATTAAATCTATGCCAAAAATCTTTTTTATAATATTAAAACTGATTTCAAATTGATTACTTTTCAAAAAAAATTATTATTTTTCATTTAATTTTTTCTCTTTTAATTATTATTCTAATTATTTTATTTGTTATGACTTCTATGCAATCAGTATTTGTTTTTAATTATATTATTCAATTTATTAATTAATAATATCTTATAGTTATTTAAAATTATTATTTTATTAATCAACAAATTTTTAGTATTATTCTTTTAATTATTAGTATTTATTAAAAGAATTTATTATAACATTCGAGTTTTTTAATTCAACATTAAATATTTCAAAATTTTACATATTTACTTCCTCAACTATATTTTCTTGAAAATTTTCCCTAATTATACTTAAATTTTAATCGATTTTATTAGGTGTTAAAGCATCTAAAATCAGTTTTTTATCATATGAATTCAAAGGCATATTAATAACTAAATTTTGAATGTCTGTCTCATTTTTTTTTTATTTTAAAGGAGTGTTGCTAATTGATTTTTAAATACTTTGTTAATTAATATTTATTTTTTATTAATTTTAAATTTAGTTTTAGTTAACATTAAAACTTTAACTTGAATTTTCTTAATTAATTAAATTTTTTTCTTTAGTAATTTATATTTATTATTCCTATTTTTTTTATATTTAACTATTTTATTTATTATTATCTTTTTTAATAATTTTCTTTTATATCAATTCTTCCCTAAAATCTTATGAAAGTCTTTTTAAATCTTAAATTAAATTATTTGGAGAATTATTTTTAACAATTTATTGGTCATTTTAGATATTTTATTATAATTATTTAATTGGAACATGTTATTACTATTATAGCAATGTTTATTAATTTTATTAAAAAAACTATTATAATTATTATTATTATTATTATTATTATTATTATTATTATTATTTTTATTGTTATTATTATTATTATTTATTTTAAGTATTTTCAAATATTTATTATATATTTTCAAATGGATTGCTATAATTATTTTAAAAATTATCTATTGTTTTTAAATCTTATTCTTAATTTATAACTATTAGTTCTTATTATTCAATTTTTTATTCACTAATTTATTAAGGCTTAAAAAATTCGCTAAATCTATTAAATTTCCTATCAACTTATATTAATTTATTTTATTCTGAATTATTTTAATTTTACTTAAATACATTTTCAAATAAACTATTTTCATCTATTATGTCTTCTAATAAAAAGCTATTTTCAAAAAATAAATCACTATTCATTTCTTTATTATTATTATATATTTATTTATTTTATTCAAATGCTTTTTTTAAAAAAATAAATAATTCAATAATTAATTTTTTTAAAATAATTTTTTACGCGAATTAAATTATATAAGTTTTGATTAATCTTCTTCTAAACTTCGATGTTTATCACTTAAACTCTAAGGCGTAATATCCCAATTTTAATTTTCTATTCTTTTTATTTTATAAAATAGTTATTTTAATATATATTTATAATAATTATTATAAACATTTTACTAATTAAAACATCTTACTTGTTTTCCTCCCCAACTAATTCTTTTTTTAGAATTACTTTCAAATAAGTTGTTTTAAGACTATTAATTTTAAAGCTACTAATTTTAGGATTATTAATTTTAAGATTATTTTAATAAAGGTTTTAATTTTTAATTCTCCATTTTTATAAAAAAATATTAAATAAGTTAAAATCAAAAATATAAAATTTTACAAATTCAAAATTAATTTAAGGCGCTATTTAATTTTTTATTTTATAAATTAATCAAACTAATAAAATAAAAAAGCATAAAGTAATAATATATATATATATATATATATATATATATATATATATATATATATATATATATATATATAATTAAATATTAAAATAATAAGATATTTAATTAATTTTAAAAAACATATCAAAAAAAATATATAATACCTATTAATATATACTTTTAATATAAAAATATTTATATCATAAATAATTATAAATAATTATTTTATGTATTAGATGATAAATTAATTATTTTTAAAAATATAAAAATAAAATAATAACTAATAATATTTATATTAAATATTTTTATATAATATAAATTTTTATTAATTTAATTATAATAATTAATAAATAAATATATATTTAAATTAAAAAAAATATTTAATTTATATAGTATTTTTAATAATAATATTTAATAATGCAATAATAGGATAATTTTTATTATATAAAATATATATAATTAAAAAATAATTTATAATTTATATTCTCTTTTTATTGTTTAAATACTAACAATTTATTAATATGATAATTTATATTATTTAATGTTTAAGATTTTTAAATTTTATTACAACTAAATATTAATTATGAATAATGATTATATAGTTTAAATATTTATTATTAATATTACTAATTATTATTAATTTTACTGAAATTTTTATTTTATTATTATTATATTTAAATATGGATTATTATATATTATTTATAATTTTTTTTTAAAAAAATTATAAACTAATATATATTTAATTATATGCACTTTCTTACTTTTTATATATAAATTTATCAAACAATATAATTCTTTTATCATCATTTATTATAAAGTTTATAAATTTTTAATCAAATCACTAAAACAAATAAAAAAATAATGAAATAAATATTATAATTTTAAAATAAAATAGAATAGTTTTCATAAAATACTTAATACACCATATCACAAATATTAATAATTTTAATAGATTATACTAATTATAAAAATATTAGATAATCTATTTTTTTGTTTTGTTTAAATAATAATATTTATATATTTATATGATATCTTCAAAATTGTACAGATATGATTTTGATTGTATTATTTAAAAAATGAAAAATTCATAAAAAAAAACCAAAGAAAAAGATGAAATAAGTATAGTATAATTTTAAATATAAGGTTATAATTGTACATAAATATTTTTTTTTAAAAAATACTTTTTTAATAATAATATCATGTATTAATTATATATATAAAAAATTATTAAAAATGAATTGAAAGATTATGAAAATTAAATTATTTATATAATATGTCCTTTAAATATCTTATTTATCAAATCTTTTTGAGAATAAAAATAAAAAAATGGTTAAGATATTTTAATATTTAATATAGAAATATGTAATAGATTAAAAAAATATTAAAAAAAATTAAATTAATAATAATATATCTTAAACATTATAAAACAATTAATAAATTATAAATTATTAATTAAAACTTAAATTAGTAAAAAAAAAATATATATATAATAAATTAATATCGAATAATTAAATTAAAATTTATTTAATAATTAACAGTAAATAAACTAAAAAAATGTTTAGATATAATAAATATTGTTCAATAAATAATATAATATATATAAATAATAATATTACTAAAATAATAATATTATTATTTATTTGCTTGTATTTATTTATTCTATATTTAGTTAAATATAATACATTTTTTTTAAAAAAGAATATACTAATTATTTAAAAAAATATATATATATTTCTTTTTCATTCAAAATTTTAAGGATTTTTCATATATACGTTTTGATACTCTTCGACAGTCATTATCAAATTACCTTTTAAAGGATCTTATACAATTACTTTTCCATTAACACTATTAATTTTTTCTTTTTTTAAATTATCTTTATCATAATTATTATTATTAGAGGTATTATTAATATCATTATTTTAAGGGCTATTATTTTCATCGGTGATGTCTATTCCAAAAATTTTTTCTTTAGATAATTTATCTAACCTTAAATTTTTGTAGAAAATTAATTCTCTTACTTTCATTTCTTTAATCTAATTTTGTATTTATAAAATATCTCTTTGCTATCTAATAAATATTTAAACAATAAAATAAAAATTAATAATTAAAACTTTAAAGATTTATCTTTTTGAAAAAGTTCATCGCATTCTTTTAAATCAAACAAAACTTTATTTTATTTTTTATTACTATTATTGATATCAGTTTTGTAAGAAAAATTACTATTATTCATTTATATTTATATAAAAAATATAAATTATAAATAAATATAAATTTTAATATATATATTTATATATATATATATATTATTATTTTTTTTTAATTTATATTATTTTATAATTATTATATATTTTTATGTTTTTATTTTTTATTATTAATTTTTCAATTTTTTACTTATTAATTTTTTTTTATTTTTTTTTTACATAATACATTTTTGTTTATAATTTTAATATTATTTTTTTTTAAATTTATATTGTTATATTTAAAGTTTAGATATTTCTCTAATATTTTTTTTATAATTATTAATAAGTTTAATATTTTTTTTTTTTTTTATTTTTTTCATTATTTTTTATAAATTTATCTTTTAATTTATAATAATATATAATCTCTAATTTTCAAATTATATGGCACTTTTACTATTTAAATCCAAAATTTAACATTTTTTTATTTTTTTCTTAATTTAATATTTTTTCAGATTATTTTTTTAGAAATTATATACATTCTGATTTTAAAAAAATATATAAAAATAATTAGATTTTAAATATATTTTTTATATTATTATATTAAATTTATTTATAATAATATTATTTTTTTAATTTTAAAAAATATAATTATATTTATATAATATCTAATTTTTATAAAAAAAATTTAATTATTTAATTTAGTATTAAAATTAAAAATTAATTAATACTATATAATAATATATAAATTTGATTATTAAAGATTAATTATCTAATATTATTAATTATATTATAAATTATTATTAATAATTTTTATATAATCATAAAATAATATTTTATTTATGTAAATAAATGTTAAATAAAATTAATCTTTTTTTTAACAGAATTATTACTTATTTTTGTTTTAAAAATTATTTAAATAATATATTTTTTAAAAAATAGATTAACTATCCTTTATTTTGATTTAATCATTATAAAAAATGAGAAAGATTTTAATATAAATATATTTTATTTAATAATTATTTTTAAAAAAAGTGAAAAGTATAAATAATTAAAAATTATATTTTTTATAATATTAAATATATATAAACAATAGTTTAGTTTATAATACTTAATATTAAAAAATATATATATATAGAAAAACAAATAATATTTTTGAAAATAATAATGATTATATATTTAAAAATGATAGTATATAAAATATATTATATTAATAAATATTTAATAGTTAATAATTTATTAAAAATAATAAAAAAATTTAATTTAAAAATTTTAATGTAAAATTAAAAGTAATAAATGAAATAAAATGTTTATATATATTTATATAATTAATTGAATAATAAGAAGATATATCAAAAAAATTAAAGAATATTAAATATATTTATATATAAAATTTTATTAAAAATATTATTTTTAAATACATAAATATTAAAAAAATAAAATAAAATTTATTGTAATAAAACTTTTAAAAAATTGTATTATACTATATATTAAATTTATATTTTTTTTCTATTTTATAAACCTTTTTATTAATTTTTTTTTTAAAAAAAAAGGTCGTACCGGGAGTCGAACCCGGGTCAGAGGAATCAAAATCCTCGGTGCTAACCACTACACCATACAACCAACTACATTAGTTTTTTTTTAAATATTAGTGTAAAAGAAATACCTATTATATATACTAAAAATATTGTTTTTATTTTATATAAATTAATTCATTAAAATTTTATTTAAAGTAATTTTTTTTGTATATATAATATAAATTTGACTCTTTTTTTTTTTAAATATATGAAGTATTGTATTTAAAAAAAAAATTAATTTTATTTATATATATAGAAATTCATAACTTGTTATTATATGTTTTATAAGCAGATTTATTAATATTTTAATATTAAGAATAAATCATTTGGAATTTTCTATAATTAAACTCTTCAATTAATTTTTACTTTTCTTACTCGATTGTCTTCTTACTTTTCTAAGTTATGTTTCTTTACAATTATAATTATTATTTTTATTGTACATAATAAATTGAAAACATAATTCCTAAAAATATACAATAAAATAATATAAGGAATTTCGAAAACTTAATTAGAAAAAAAAGATTTTCAGAAAAATTACAAATATGATGACTATAACTAATCCCATTACATTCACTCATTATTTAAAATACTTTTTCATTGAATTCTTTTCCATATAAACTATGATTTTAGAAAGGAAATATAGTCATAAAAAGTGTAAAAATTTAAATGGAAATTACAACAAAAAAGCTCTTAATAATTAAATTTGTTTTTTAATTTTTTTCTGAAAGAATTTATCCTATCAATGTAATTACTATTAGAAATTATAAAAAGGTCAAAAAAACATTTATATTAATTAAATTCCAGAAAACATTCATATTATAATAATTTATATGTTTTTAAAAAAAGTCATTCACTTAAGTTTGAAATTAATAATGGAATATATTTAATAAGTTGTATATTAAAAAAGTCGATAATATAAGAAAAAGTAATAGAAAGAAGTTTTTGATTATTAATTATTAATACAATATTTTATCTTTAAATTAATTCGCCATTATTTAAAATATTCAAATATAATAGATAATATATATTAATTTATAAAATAATTAAAAAAGGAAATTATAAAATTAAGATATATATATAATATTTATTGTATTATAAAAATTTTATGTTTTTATATATAAATAAAAACAAAATACAATTAATATATATAAATTATTTTGATTAATATAAAAAATTTATAAATATATTATAATATATTGTTTATTTATAATAAATAAATAAATTAAATATATATATATATATATATATTTTATTTTATTTCAAAAATGTTTTTAATATTTTATCAAAATTATTTTTTTAATTTATATTTCTCAATATTACATTATTTATTTAAAAGATTATTTTTTCTTAATTTACCATGTTTTATAATTAATTTATTATTTATTACTTAATCTAATAGATCTTTTTAATTTAATAAGCTAGACATATTGTATTTTTTTTTTATTTAAATTTATAATATTCAATACATATTTCAATCCATATTCATTTAAATCATCGCAATTTTAAAATTTTAGTCTTTCAACATTAATCTTTTTTATTTTTTTATTTATTTTTTATATTTAATTTTTTTATTATTCTGCAATGCACTTTTCGTCTTAAAATTATTCTTAAAAATATTCTTAATTATATTAAAATTCATCTTTTTATTTTACTTATTATTATTAAAATAATCCTTTTTATTTAAACCCCTATTATTCCTAAAATTATTATTAGAATTTCTCTTATTCTTAAAAACTCTATTATAAATATTTGATTATTTTTGTTTGTTTGAATTATTAAAGAAAATATTTTTTTTTTAATTTTTGTAAACCTTTTGATGTTTATAAATAATATTTGCCAAATTCTATTTGATTTAAACTTTTTCTATATTTATATATATATTATTTTAAAGCAAAATTCTAAATTAATTAATTTCATAACTTTTCTACTCAAGTATTTTCAAATTATAAAAATTCATTAATTAGTTATTCTAAAAAATTGAAAACATCTAATACTATTTTTCATATTTCTCAAATTTTTTTTTTTTCTTTTATTCTTTATTAGCTTTAACGATTTATGGATTTAAAAAAACATTTATTTTTTCTTATTAAATTTATAATTATTAATTGTTATAATTAAATTATTCTTAAGGAATTATTATCTATTTATTGATTGTTTTATTTTAATATAATTTTATTTATTTTTATTTATATGAAAATAACAACTATTAATTTTATTTTTATTTCTCTTCTTTTTTTGCATTCTAGAATTGTAAAGGATTATTTTCATTGTTTTTATATTTTTAAAGATTTTTAATAATTTACTTTTATTAAATTTAAACTTATTAATTCTAGTTTATTTTATTATTATTAAACTAATTGCACCTTAAACAGGATATACATTATTAACCAGAATTATTTATAAATTTATTATTATTAATTGTTTTACTAATTTCACTAAGAAAAGGTAATCTCGAGCTATTTATTATTCTTTACTTTAGACTAGATTTCCTTATATATATAAATATATAGATATATATCAAATTTATAATTAATTATAATATTTATAAATATATTAAATAATTAACTTACTCCTTCTTTTATTTTTCCCATTGTTCAAGTTTTTAAAACATTGATTACATTTTGTAACTTTGTTAAATTTTAAATTTCCTATTCTATATGGGTTTATAATTTCTTAATTATTTTTCAAAGTATTAGAAACTATATCTAAGTATATATTTTTATTATGTTTTATACAATATCAAAAATATAATAAAAATTACTAAAAATTAAATATATCTTTAGAAACAAAATTGTTTTAAAGTTTTTTGATTTTCTTTATTTTATTAAGATTATTGTTATCTAAAATACTATCTTCTTTCATATTATATTTGATTGTTTATATGTATTTATGTTTAGTGTTTTTTAATTATTAAATCAATAATATATATTGTTAATTCAAATAAAACGATAATATTAAAATTACAATTTATAAAATGATATAAACTAAAACAATTCTAATAATTAAGAAATACTAAATGATAGATATATAAAATTTAAAGATAGGTATAAAACAAATTTGAAATAGATTTTAGCTTAAAATTTAAATAATAAAATATTACATATAATTAGTTTAATTATATAAACTAAATAAAATAACTAAATATTATTTTGCATTTTAATAGAAATTTATCATTTTAATTAAAAAAATTATACTAATATTAGAATTTTTATTTTTATAATTAATACTCTATTTATAATTTTAATAAAATAAATTTATATAATCTAAGTTAGTAATATTTAAATATATATAAAATAAAACAATTATAATAATATACAAAAAACATGTATTTAAAAAAAATCATATATAAATATAATATAATATAATTATTATAAAACAAAAAATCACTATAATTTTAAGTATAATTTTTGATTTATTTTAAAATTTATATTTAATATTAAATAAAGGAATATATATTTCTGATTAATATTTAATTGTTTGCTAAGATAATATAAAAAAAGCATTTATTTATAAAATAAATTAATAATTTTATCAAATATAAAATGAAAAAAAAAGAAAATATTTATAAAAATCAATTTTTTTTTTTTTAAACAAAATATTGATTTTAAATTTAAATAATAATTAAAAAAAAATTAATAGCTTAATTTGTTATGACAAGTCTAAATAATTATATAGGACAAACAAAAGAAAAAGACAATATATTTCTGAAAAATCTATTAGAGACATCCGAAAAGCACAATAAAAATCTAGGCGAACTAATAGTCATTTTGAAAAAAGTAAAATTCTATTTTATTTAAAAATACTTAATTTATAGTATTTCAAAAGAATATTGAAGAAGAGAAATAGAAATAATAAAAATACGCCAAAGAAAATCATGATTTAAAAAAAGAACTTATATAAAAGCAATAAGCAATAAAAAAATTTGAAAGTGAATTATATTAAAGCAAATAAAACGAGCAAAAACAATCCATAATCATAAAATAACTATAAGAATCACTTGAAAAATATAGAAATTAGCAAAAAGAAAAAATAATATAATAAGAAAATAAAATTGAAGAAATTAGCAATAAAGAAAATATAGGTAACAAAAAAAATATATATTATAATATTTTATTTTATCCTTAAAAAAAAAACAAAAATTAGAAAAAAAAATTTTAACAAAAAGTAATAAATAATGGCCTATTTAAAAATAAAATTATGAAAGTAATTATACAACAGTCTTTCATAAAAATTCATCGAAAAAACGACTAATAAACTTCTAAAATTCATATTCTTTATTAAATCCGAGTTCTTTGAATGCATCTACAAATTAAAAAAGTTAAAAAAGCTTAAATTTTAAAAACTTTAATAAAGAAAATGACTATAGATATATAAATGAATATTCAAATAATATAAATAACGAAAATATTCTCAATTAATAAATATATTAAGATATATCATAGAAAAACATTCAATAAAAAGAACATGAAAGAGTATATTCATATGATAATAATGTGTAAAAATAATACTAATAAAAACAATAAATAGGCGATAATAAATATTAAACAGTGAATACTTTTAGAAAATACAGTGGTTATTCAGGAGTATCTGAACTAAATAATCAAAAAAAATAAATTTTAAGAAATTTATATTTGCAAGAAAATAATAAAGCGAAAAAAAAATTAGAATAATAATTAAAAAGCCAAAATTTTTTACATGAAAACTAATTAGAAACAACCTAATAAAATAATTTAAATGAAAAAAAAGAAGAAGAAGTAACAATTATAATGGAAGAAATTTAAGATACAATGGCTAATGTAGAAGAGGATATAGATGAAGCAGCAAATTTAGAAAATTTAGATGGAAGTCATTTTAAAGTTAATAATATAAAAAGTAGTTTTACAGGAGGAAAATAATTAAGAATTAAAACTGAATAGTATTTTTCTAAAATTGAAAATCGCATAGTTAACAATATTTCTAAAAAATAGGTCTAAAACTGTACCAAAATCAATAATTAAAATAATTAAAAAAGTTAATCAATACATGAAAAACATTAATCTGTAAATAATTATAATTAAATAAATAATAAAATGATTAATTTTAAGTAAATAAATAATTAAATTAACAAAAATATCATAGAAAATGCAATTGAAAGAAAAATTAAAATACAAAATGGTTTTTATGAAAAAAAAGAACCGGGCAAAATAAAACGTAATTTAGATGAAAAACAAGGAAATTTTAACGGAAATTAAATATTCGAATGCTTAATGATATACGGTCCTAACAAAAATTAAATAAATGAAATTAAAGAAACAAAAAGTAAATAAGTATTTACAGTAAAACCAGAAATTTACTTCAAATATCCAGAATATTCATAAGTAGAAAAAGGAAGAGAAGATGTTTTTTAATAATTTGCTTTTCCTTTCGGAGTTGATACTTAATAATTTAGTCTAACGGACTCTCTTTCAGAAGTAAATTAAATTATTTTTACAAATAATATTGCAGAAGCAAATAACAATTGTTTTGTTTTTGCAATAAAAAGCGAAGAATCTTATAAATTTTAAAAAAATTAAAAATAAAACGAATATTAAGAATTACTAGAAATATGTAATCCAGCTAATCTATTATATGGAATATGCTTTAGAGTAAAAGAAGTTATTGAAAATGTAAAATATATATATAAATATATAGAAGAATATAAAAATATCTAAATATATAGAAAAATATAAATTTATATATAAATATAAATATTTAATATATAAATTGTTTATATGATTTTTTTATATTATTTATATTTAAAAATTATATTATATATAAAATCTACTAAAAATTTTTACATAATATTTTTTAATGAATTATTTTTTAAATAATAATAAATATATTATAAAAAAACTTAAGATTCAGATACATATATTAATTTTTTTATTTTTAGAATTTTTAAAATTACTTTTTAACTACTAATAAACTTTATTGTTTTCTTACTTATTACCCTTTTCATAAATTTTTCTTGGATATAATTTCATCGATGTTAAGTATTTTTCTAATTTTTAATTATTTAATATTAATATTTTTGATTTGTTTATAAAATTATATATATATATATATTTTATTTATTAAGATTAAATGAAAATGAAAAGAATAGAATATTTTTCACAAATTTAAGATAAAATAAATTATGATTCTTAATTATTATCTAAATTAGAAAAAGACTTTTTCTATAATGTAAAAAATAATAAATAAAAACAAAATAAAATAAAATATTAAAATACATTATAAATAATAAAAAGTTTATAAATAATGATTGTAAATAATTATTAGATGAACTTAAAAAAATATATCTTCCAAAACTAAACACTGTTCTCTAATTTAAATTTAATCAAGAAACATTTATTTACCAAATCCCAAATAAAGACCTTGCTAAGCACATAGAAGCCGAATGGGGATGTAGTATAGTTTTATCAAGTCTTGAATTAGAATAATTTATAAGTATATTTCTATCTCTACTATTAGAATAAAGTATAGTATTCGTTTCAAATAATTCAGCCTTATTATCTTCCACAGTATTATTATTTCATTCACTTTTAAAACCTTTTTTATGGCCACATCCATTAATAATAAATTTACCTAATAATTTCATGCATGTGTTAGATATTCCAATTCCAGTATTAGTGGGTTTAAATAAAGATAAATCTTTTGTGTTTGAAAAAAAATTAGATTTAGTTCATGAAAATTGTCTTTTTGTATTATTAGATGAAAAAGTTGAAATACTTAATAATCATTTAGTTAAAAATATTTATAAATCATAAACTTTTATACAGGTATTGTTATTATAAATATATATATATATAATTATATATATATATATATATATAAATATATTATATATATATATATATATAAATATATTATTATATAAAATATATACATATATATTATTTTATAGCTTTAGGATTAATTATAAAGTCATTTTTATTAATTAAATGAGGAAAAAATAGCTATTATAGAAGATGCAAATATTTAATAATCTATATATTTTAATGAATAATGTATAAATAATTTAACGATTAGTTAACATTCTAATAATATAAACGAAAATTTTAACGATGGTTTATATGAAAATTATGTAAAAAGCTATAAAACTAAATAATCTTATTTATTAAATAATAATGAATCTAAATAAAACAATTTATAATCATTAAGTAATAATAATAATTATAATTATAATAATAATAATACTTCTACTAATTATACTTTGGGAAAGAAAAAGAAAACTATAATGTATCCTAACTAAGAAGAGAAATAAAAATGTATGTAAATATTATAAAAATGTAGTGATTTTATTATGAATAATATTTTATAATATATTCCTGTTAATATTTTATTCGGAAATAATGGAATTGTAGATTTTCAAGACTTAGAAAATAAAATACAGTATTCGATAAACTATAAAGATGAATTTATTAGTAAATTATTATAAACTTAATTGTTTTAGATGTATATTTAAGAAAAATATACTAATTGATATATTATTAGAAATTGAATTTATAAATATATTATATTTTCTGTAAAAATAATTTTTTTATGTCTATTATATATATTTAATTTTTTTATTTATAATATTTTATATAAAAAACATAATTACTTTTTATAAAAAATATATATATTAAATATATTTAAAATCTTATTCTTATATTTACATTTTAATTTTTTTTTTTACAAAAATAAATAAATAATAAATCGAAAAATTGAAAAATTGAAAAATTGAAATAACCAAATTAAAAAAAACATTTACTAAAATCTATATAAATAAAAAATAATAATATAAATCTTAATATTCATCTATTTTGTTAACAGTTAAATTTTTTTAAATTTAAATAAATACATTATAATAAGAATAATAAAAGAATTAATAAAAAAAAAAACATTTAAGATTAAAATTAAATAAAATATAAATAAAAACTTAATAAGATTAATTTCTTGTTATTTAAATATATTATAAATTATTTGAATAATATTATTATATTCTTTTTTTTTTCATATTTATATGTAAATTAAAAGACATTTGATATTGTTATTTTTTTAATATCCTTAAAAAAAATATAGGTTTAATTTATAAATAAAACCTTTTATTTTTTTTAAAAAAAATGAATAAATTTAATTATTAATAATTGAATATATATAAATTAAAAGAAATAAAATTAATAATTTAAATGTTTTATATTATTTAATTTGATTAAAAAAATCTAAATATTATTTTTTTATTTTAACAAAAAAAATATACGTTAATATAAACAATAGATAAATTTATAAAAAATATAAAAAAAAACAAAATAATCATATTAGATTCATATAACAATCCGTATATGCCCTTTATTTTGATATTTCGAAAATGAAAAATCTCGGATAACAGATAAATAAAAAAAAATATTTGGTAATGAAAATAAAATGATAGTAAATATACTATTGTTTTAAATAATTTAGGCAAATTATATTTTTAGAAAATAATTATATTAAAAATAAAATACATAAATACACAAAACCTCTAATTTAATTAAATTTAAAAAAAAAATTAAAAAAAAATATTTATCTTAATCGATAAAAAATTATAATAAAGGAAAATAATAAATTTCAAATTTAATATTAAATTTATTTCAGGTAGAAAAAGTCATATTAAAGTAATATCAGGTATTTAATATAATAATATAAGATATTATAAATTATTTTATTAAAAAAATTAAATTAAGGAGAAGTATGTATATGAGGAAAATTTTTTATGAAAAACTTGAAAATAGTTAAGATAGAAAAGAAAATAAATAATAATATATTAAAATAAAAATAAAAAAAAAAATAATGAATATATAAATATAAATATATATATATATATATATAT